TCACGCGATTTTTGACGATTTTTGACCACCCCCCCCCCCCCCCCGTCGTCACACGGCGTCACAAAGTCAGACCCCCCCTCAAATATGACGTCACAAAGCTCTGCCCCTCCCCCAAAAAAAACATGCTTCAAATTGCTTTAAACTATTGTCATGGTAGTGCGGATTTAATGTGGCGCTGCACTCTGATGTTGTAGGAGAAAACATTTATTAAAAAGTCTATTTAATTAAGTAGAACGTGTTGTCTATATTTATTTAAAGTTGCGCATTTTGATTTGACGTCACATTTCCCCCCCCCTCCCCTGCGTCACGCATCGTCACAAATGTCTGACCCCCCCCCCCCCCCCCAGGTGCGTGACGTCATTTATGGACGGCCCCTTCAACATAGAGCTCCCACAGTCCCATACCCCCTGCGAATTCCCGTCTCCCCCATCCCCAACCCCGTTGCTCCCCCCAACGATCTTCGCCATTATGATCCCGGGGCGCCCTCTCGCGCCTCCACGTGGCACACAACACGTGCCCCAGCGGGCAGCCCGCGTCAAGTTGGACACCGAACCCGGGTGGATCGGGTGGCGTGACACGGAGCGAGGTGGAGCGGTGTGCAGTGCGCCGAGCGAGGGCGGTGATAGTGAGCAGGGGGGCTGGTGGTGAGCGGGGGGGGGGGGTTGAGCGAGGGGGGTGTGGTGAGTGAGAGAGGGGGATGTTGGTGAGCGAGAGGAGTGGTGGTGAGTGAGGGGGATGGTGATTAGGGGAGGGGTGGTGAGCGAGAGGGGGTTAGCGAGGGGGTGGGTGAGCGAAGGTGGGGTGTAGTGAGCAAAGGGGGGGGGGAGTTGTGGTGAGCGTGGGGAGGCTGTGGTGAGCGAGGGGGGGGTTGTGGTGAGCGAGGGGAGTTGTGGTGAGCGAGGGGAGGCTGTGGTGAGCGAGGGGGGGTTGTGGTGAGCGAGGGGGGGTTGTGGTGAGCGAGGGGAGTTGTGGTGAGCGAGGGGAGGCTGTGGTGAGCGAGGGGAGGGTGTGGTGAGCGAGGGGGGGTTGTGGTGAGCGAGGGGAGTTGTGGTGAGCGTGGGGAGGGTTGTGGTGAGCGAGGGGGGTTGTGGTGAGCGAGGGGAGTTGTGGTGAGCGTGGGGAGGGTTGTGGTGAGCGAGGGGGGGTTGTGGTGAGCGAAATGCCGCAGTCTCTCCGGGCCGTGTGCTCCCCGGTCAAGGCGTCGTCTCGCCGTGCTGCGTCTTGGCAACTCTAGAGTTATTATCTTGAATCTCCGGGCAGCAGGTAAGAGGAAGTCGGCAGCCCAGTGCTGGCACGCCTGTCCGCTGCATTAGGACGTGCAAAGGAGATATCGGTGATTCAAGCGGAGTGAGTGATGGATGCATCAAAGGCTACGTCGGGGAAACGCTGAGAACCCTCCCCCGCTGGCACACGCTAAGTAGACTTCGTAGGGACGGGTCGTAACCATTGCTATTTTATTTACTGTTTTACCAGGCAAGGCCCAATGAGCTATGTAGCTCTTTTATGGCCATCGCAAATGAAAGCTCTACAAACTACCTTGCGTGGAAATGTTACAGCAGCCAAATACTCTAAACGCGCGGTGTTGAGTCTACATGTGGAGGGGGGAAAAACCGGAGGAAGCGAAGAAAAATCCACGAGACCACGGGGAGAAAATGCAAACTCCAAATACACGGGCGTCAGGTTCGGGATCGAACCCACAACCTCCTGTATTCCAAATACACGGGCGTCAGGTTCGGGATCGAACCCACAACCTCCTGTATTCCAAATACACGGGCGTCAGGTTCGGGATCGAACCCACAACCTCCTGTATTCCAAATACACGGGCGTCAGGTTCGGGATCGAACCCACAACCTCCTGTATTCCAAATACACGGGCGTCAGGTTCGGGATCGAACCCACAACCTCCTGTATTCCAAATACACGGGCGTCAGGTTCGGGATCGAACCCACAACCTCCTGTATTCCAAATACACGGGCGTCAGGTTCGGGATCGAACCCACAACCTCCTGTATTCCAAATACACGGGCGTCAGGTTCGGGATCGAACCCACAACCTCCTGTATTCCGGGTGAGGTAGTTAACATCTCGCCACCGTGGCCGCCTTGGTGATTGAATCTTTCCGATCTGATTCCTGTGAGCAAAAAAATCACAATCCGATTGGAGATATTAACTCATCCACGTACGGATCGGAGTGGCCCGATAGTATGGAATCGCATTTTTATGGGTTCGTCCACCTGTAAGGAACGATTTTTTTCCCAATGAAACATTCCAAAAGGTATTATTAATTCATGTACAGTTTATTAATATTTTTGTTACTGAACAAAAAAAAATCTATAGCTGACTCAAAATGTGCCGCGCATTGTGTAGAATGGGTGCAGAGTGCGTGGGAGAGTGAGTGCTGAGAACACCAAAGGACTTTTAATTGAAACGGGAAGGTTATGGGTTCACTAACTGGCATGAGGAACAATTTAGGGTTGTACATGTCAGAGAACTCCTCATCTTAACAGCCATGATCAATCCACTGCTGGATCAACGCTTCCCCAAGCCGACTCTGACGATCTTGCGACGCAAAAGTCAACAGATTTCATGGCTCCATCTCCTTGCTGGACGTTTCCCCTGGGACGTGCCTCCACAAATATTTCAGGGTTTTATTCAAATGTATTTTTTCAGTGATATGTGCATATGAATGTGCAAGACAATGCAAATTGTGGCGAAGCAAAACCCAAATGTTACGAATCGCTTCACGCTCGTTCATCAGGCTACAAGAGGTAAAGGCCAGATAAGCTCATCTATTCCGTGAAGTTCTAGGGTTGATCGTGCGCAGATTGCTGTAAATGTCTAAGGGTGCTTTATACATGTAAATTGTTATTACACGGCACTGCGTCAGCAAAGTGGAGAGTGAACGCGACATCCAACACACTCCAAGTGCAGAACGCCAAGAAGCATACAGCTGTCTCGGCCTCGCTGTGCGCTGCCATTACACCACTATCCGAGTAGTTAACCTCGCATTCAATAAACCTTCAGAGCCAGGGTGAACATCCGACTCTAACGTATTTAATTAATATAACGAGGTAAAACTGATGGAAAAACACAGCACAAAATACAGCATCTGTTAACACTTGCAATATCAATACAATTGTAGTGGCGTGGAATGAGTCACTGGAGCGCGTGCCGCTGGGAGATTGGTAGACAATAGAAATAGGGGTGACAGCCCGTTCTACTAGTTGCACCTGTGGGCAAGGCAGGGAGCCCTCTGGGGGGATCCAGAGGGGTGCGGGGGGGGGGGCTGAGGGCGGAGCCTGGCCACGCTGGGGAAGATAAAAGGCGAGCTCCGACTCACAGTCGGGGCTGCTGCGATCTGGAGGGGAACGCGTTGTGTCGTTGTCGTGATCCTCACCCGCTGCAAGCTGTGGGTCTGGCAGCATGTTGGCTGGCCTGACCCGGTGGGTGGTTATCCCCTAAAGGCTGGAATAAAAGAGAGAGTACCTCCTACTAGTCTGTGAATTAGTACACTCCACAATGAATGAATACTACAGCATCATAACATTGTCTTAGATAACATGAATCTCAATAATAGGTCCTGGATGGACCTACATTAGCACTGAATAGCCATACAACAATAAGCTACTGTGTTAAATAAGGTCACTCTGAGTAATCACCATACTGCAGCCCAAATGTACAGCGCTGCTGCACATAACACTGAACTGTGGATGAGATACTTCTTCATTTTTGCTCTCAAGAACGCATTAAAGTTACATGGGCACAAGTCTGGCTTGACTTATCCAACTACAAATAACATTCACAATAATGCAAGTAGCAGACTTCGTTGTTAACTAGGCCTCATATTTATCAAAACAATTTCACAGCGTTATAAAGGCAATCCTAACATAACAGCATCCCCAGTATTATAAGAACATGAACTTACAGACAATGCTACTTAAAGTCCCACAATGAACAGATGCACCCGTCTTCACTGCGACGCCAATTGTGCCTCAATTCTGTACTCTGTGTAATGGCTGACACCCCTGCCTTGCCTCGTGGCTTCGAGGCCCTTAACTTTTGTAACTTCCTGGTCACGTGACCAAACTCAACACCATCATATAAGGACGTTCCTGTGTAAACACACCCCCATATATGCCGTGGAGCAAACCAACAGCCGCTGGTCACTCTATTGTTTCACATGGACTTCGTCTAGCCGCTGGACAGACGTCGTTACTGCTGATGTGTTCATTTTTAGTCTGTGCCGTAATTCGATGGGAGCGCGCTGCGTGCCTATCCTTGCTATATAAGTATATTTATTCGAGAAGATTTATTGTGTTACATTTGTTTTATAATGCAAAATAAAACATGGTCAAATGTAATAATAGGGTTTTTCCCCTTTTTTCTGGCAACAAAACTGATCCTTTTTACAAGGATTCATATCTGCATTAACCACAATACCTGCAGTCAAAATGCAAACAACAAAAAAACTATGATAATATATGCATTGTCCTTGAAACTGATTGGTCCACACCAAGGGACGGCTTTCTTTTGAGCCTCGACCCAATTGGTGCTCGACCAGTTGACGCCAAAAGGCATACAGCTCAAAGACAATGCACTATCAAAGTAATGAGGGCTCGGGGTGAGTATCTACATCATTAGACCTCCTTTGCCAGTACCAAAATGTAATAATAGGGTTTTTCCCCTAATTTTCTGGCAACAAAACTTATTACTTTGATAGTGCATTGTCTTTGAGCTGTACGCCTTTTGGCGTCATCTGGTCGAGCACCAATTGGATCGAGGCTCAAAAGAAAGCCGTCCCTTGGTGTGGACCAATCAGTTTCAAGGACAATGCATATATTATCATAGTATTTTTTTGTTTGCATTTTGACTGCAGGTATTGTGGTTAATGCAGACATGAATCCTCGTAAAAAGGTTTCAGTTTTGTTGCCAGAAAAAAGGGGAAAAACCCTACTATTACATTTTGGTACTGGCAAAGGAGGTCTAATGATGGATCAAATGTGTTTTTTTTTACGTAGGCCCTTTAGTTTTCATAGGCCCTAGGCACAGTGCCTACGTGGTGCCTACTGCGCCTATTGGATAATACGGCCCTGCTGATGCCAAATGGCCTGATGGAATACGGGAAGGTGGGGGCGAAATTGTGCACGGCATGCGTCGTGGATATGCTTGGTAACCTCGCCAGCCCGGAGCGACCAAGCCCGCCTTGGTGGAGCGCCCTTCCGATTATCACGGTTGGCCAGCTACGGTGCAAATGAAAGTTCAACGTACGTGCAGGGGAGCTCCCGCTCATCGCGGTCACGGGCCGCTTCCAAGGGAGCCACTCGGCTGACGCCTCCCAAGCGGCGGTCTCGTGGACGCGCCTCATCAGAAACCGCCCCCCCCCCCTCGAAACTTTCTTTTGGCGGACGCCTTTAATTCCGCCGAGTAGCGTGCAAAAACCATGAGGGGCCGTGGCGCTTGCCTCCCTGGTGCGTGAGGTCGGGCGGGTGGACGGGGTGCGTTGATGCGAAACGAGCGCCATGCCTCGACGCCGATCTCCCAAGCCGCGTGTCGCCAGCGGTGGCGAAGGCGGCGGCGGTGGCGGCGACCGGCGCTGCCGTGCCCGGGCGGCGGCGGCGGCGGCGTCGTCTCGGCGACGTCACGAAGCGTTCCCTGGCTGGGAGGCCTGCGAGCGATTCTTCCCGCGGCGGACGGCGACGGCGCTGACGGCGACGAGCACCGCCACTGCCGCGAGCAGAAGCAGCAGCCACTGCGCCGCCGCCGCGGCCGCCCGCCCGCTCACCTCCATCCCCAGGAAGGTGGAGATGGGCGCCGCGCCGTAGCCGCCGTCTGAAACGCAACGACCGCGCCCGCGTGAGCCTCCGTGCCCGGCCCCCCCCCCCCGCCGCCCCCGCCTCGCTCGGCGTTGCCGTCCTTCGAGCGCGGTGGTTCTCAACCTTTTACTCGGCTACTGTCCCCACCCACCTTGCCGAAGTTTGTTTCACCCGAGCACCACCCTCCTTGCCCGACCTCGCATGGCTCTGAGAAATAAATGTATGAATAATGGACGCCGATATTTGAGCCAATTCTCCATTTTGTGAGGTATCCAGACTAGAGGTTAAACCTATTCTTAGTAAACTGCAAGCGAATTCAAAACATTCAACGGACGCTCTGTGATGCGTGACGTAATTATGCTGCTAACCCCAGAGCGATAAATGCTCTGATGCGTGCATTGTCTTTGTACTGTTCACATTTTGGCGTTGTTTTCTGGTCTGACGCTGGTAGTGAGACTAAAGAAGGCTGTTGTCTCTGGTGTAGGCCAATCAGTTCAAAGACAATGGCCCATATATTATCAGAGCATGTGTGTTTGCATGTTCACCACAAGTACGTGTGGTTAATGCAGACTTGATGCCTTGAAAAAGGTATCTGTGTGGTATTTGAACATCTTAACAGCTGTTTCATTGCCAGGAAGAGTAAAACCTCTTCTTATTTGTCATCATAACAAGAATATAATATTTTTCCGAATTTGGTGTAAAAACACCCTCAATATATCAAGAGCTGCAATGCACGTGAATAACGTCATGAATCAGTCCTTTAAAGAGCCAAAAGCTATTTGCAAAAGCTATTTATTTGGTTTTTGAAGGTCTTAAAAACCTGCTTTATTGCCAGAAGAGGTAAAACCTATTCTTATTTTTCATACTTTGAAACTGGCGAAAAGGTCCCATGATATGATATAATTAGGTTGCGCTCACTGGTTACTCTTGGAAACTCGCATTGTTTACTATCAGTGGGTTTAGAAAGGTCTTTTACTGGTAGGAACCTCCTGGTTACACCAGCCCACAGGGGGATTATTGTGTCCGTCCGTCCGTCGTGCATCCAAAAATGGGAGGGGTGGGGCTGGGTGGAGAGGGGAGGGTGGGGAGGGGCTGAGTGGGGAGGGAGGGTGGGGCTGGGTGGGGAGGGGCTGGGTGGGGAGGGGCTGGGTGGGGAGGGTGGGAGGGGCTGAGGGGGGAGGGTGGGCTGGGTGGGGGGTGGGAGGGGTGGGGCTGGGTGGGGAGGGGCTGGTCACCCCGTGGTGCCCTTATCAATTGCAACGTTTAACCTACTCACGCCGGCTTGTGCCCGCCCTCACAGTCGGGCATATTTGCGGAATACACCACGTGGTGCCGCCGTTGTTGACCCTGGCCATTGACTGAGCAACCCAACGTTCCTACCGGCTCCCTCCGCAGGAGAATGTGTTATATCGTTCTAGGTTACCATATGGATTTAAATTTCATCGCAGTTATTTTGTCTTGCCAGATTCATACGTAATTATTCACCAATGATTCTCCCTGTACGACACAATTTCACACATTTATAAATCGCCTCCCGTACCCTCCCCCCTGGGGGGACATTGCCACGTTGGTACCCGCCCCCCCCCCCCCAGGGGTCCGCCCGATAGAGAACGGCTGCTCGAGCAAAGCGCGTCGGGGCAGGTGGAACCGCCGACAGAATCGCTGCGACGAGGAGACCTGGCGGACCTGGTGGGCCGGGGGGGGGGGGGGGGGGCAGCGGGGTTGTCGCGACCACTCACACGGCCGCCAGTCGTAGCTGGGCCAGCCCACGACGTCCCCGTGCTCCCCGTTGCGGCGACGCAGCCACAGCAGCAGCGGCTCGAAGTAGCGCAGGAGGGCGGCCGCGGACATGGAGCGGTTCCCCGTGAGCACCTCCAGGGCGTCCTGCCAGGGGCGGCTCGCGCCCAGCCGCATCGCCTCGCTGCACGTGGGGGAGACGCGACGCACGCGCGCGCGCGCAATTGTGACGGCGGTGATGGTGATAAATCACAACCCCAAAATTATCTTTGAAATTTTCAACTTGGCCCGAATTGTTCTCACGCCTTAGGAATTCGGCGACGGTGATTTAGCACGCCCCGGTGGTGAGCGACATTTGGAGGTGCAATTCCACGTGATTTGGCTCTTTAAATCGCTTTGTTGTTGGTGCGCCGCCTTTCACATTGTTTTCGGGCCTCTGTGTGAGGTTACATTTTCCACGGCGCCGGTGTTTGTGGCCACAGAATGCACACAGGAAGAGAGGCTTTTATTTTCCACTCGTGTATCTCGTTGCCCGTGCGGATGCGGTCAAGCGCCGTCCATTGTTTCCGTGGAAGATCTAAGCTGAGCAGCGTTGGCCATGGACTCGCCGGGAGGAATGGAGCGTCGTTTACGTACGCACGCAGGTATGTACGTACGTGCGTTAAACTTCTTTCGCACCGTACGTAGCCAACGGTGCGAATCGGAGGTGCGGGGGAAGGACAACAAACTATGGATATATGTGTGAGTCTATGTATGTATATATGTTAAAATTATTTCTGCGTGAACCTATGTGTTTATGTATGTTGAACTTCTTTCGCACCGTGCATAGCCAACCATGCTAATCCAGAGGTGTACCACACACTCGGGCGTTGGCAAAACACTCCCCGTTCATCAACAACGGCGAACAGTTCGTTGGTGTGAACTTTAATTCGCAGCCCTCTCGATCCACTTTTGGACGAGGGCCTCTCTCCTCTCTCTCTCCCTCTCCACGTTGTGTCGGTCAAAGAGGTTGTTTGGCCATCACAATCGGAATCTTTGTTTATCCTTTGAGAAATCCGATGAGCAATGAAGCAATTTTTTCACAGATGGTCCAGTAGGGGCATGTGAAAAAAATTACAACAAACAAACAAAGAATACAAACAATGATGGGAGTGCAAAGTATAGGAAATGTAAGCAAATCACTCTAAATAAATAAAACAGATATAGTATATTAGTACATATTGCATACTACACCAATTCCCTAGCTTGGGCAAGGCAGCAACAGCGAAAACAGTTCCAGACCACGCCAAGACAACACAGAGTCCCTCAATAAAATTGCACATTAAATTTGAACTATCGATACACAGGTAAGGATGAAAGTTACAAATTACATTTGAACTTCACCATGCCGGCCCATGTGCCTCTGGAGACGGGTGGCAATGTTCAATATGAGTAACTGGGCTGTGAGGCAGGGCTGGGTGTACTAAACTATTTATTTATTATACCAGGTAAGGCTCACCACCGAGCTATGTAGCTATTTTTCAGAAGCAACCTGGCCACAAATGATAGCTCAACAACGTGGCTTATCACGTGGACATTTATAGCAGCCAAATACCCAGAGAGAAACCCACGCGACCACGGGGCGAACATGCAAACTCCAAATATACAGGCGTCAGGGTCGGGATCAAACCCACGACCTCCTGTGTACCAGTTAACATCTCGCCACCGTGGCGCTCAACTGGGCTGTGAGACAGGGCTGGGTTTATTTGACACTTGAGGTCTGTGTGAACAGATGACGCTCTCTACAGGACGACCGGGACAGAGCAATGTGAAGCGTGCGGTGTGCATGGGGCTTGCGGGATGATGATGATGATGACAATGACGACGCACGCGAGCAGGCTGCCGGCCTCCGTAGAGCCGTAGATGTCGCACGTGTGTAGGGGCCCCGTGTGCCCCGCTCGGAGGCACAGCGCCTCGTGGATCTGGAACTGGAGGATGTAGCTCACGAAGTACCTGCAGCCACGGCAGAGCGACGCGCTCGATCGTGACGCTCGCTCGGGACGTCGCTGGCTCGCTCGCTCACTCGGGACGTTGCTCAGGGCACTCGTTCGGGACACTTGCTCACTCGCTCGCTCGCTCGGGAGCTTGGGACGCTCGCTCGCTCGGGACACTCTCTCAGGAAGCTCGCTCGCTAACTCCCTCGCTCCCTGGGCGGCGCTTCCACTCGTGTTTTTTTTTCTGCTATCGGCTTCAGGTCAGGAAGTAATTTAAGCGACCTCATGTCCTCACTCGGGGCATAATGTTTACGAAAAGATTGCTTCAATACAATCACAGCGCGGTATTGGTAACACGGAAGCAGTTAACTGTATAAAATCTCACTTGCACTGAATTATGTGAGTAGCATTTTACTGGCCTGACCATACGCGTGTTAACCCTACTTCCCGCGCTCCGTGAAGCCCGCTTGCTGACCGTGTGTGTGCCCGTGTGTGGATGTGAAGGTGACCTGATGTAGGGCACGCAAGATGGCACGTGAAACTTGGCCCCAGGGTCAAAGTCGGCTTCCGTGCGGGGCACAGGTGGACACACGCCCTGCAGCTTCAGTCTGTAGGCACACACCGCGAAAGTCACCCTCGCCGCCCTCGCAGCCCTGGCCGCTCTCGCCACCACATTGCCCGCACCGCCACCGTCAGGGAAGGATCGCTGATTTACCGCAAGTGAACTGCGGGCTTCAGTCCAGATATGCCGCTACTGAAACTGCCTCTTTGATCCTCGGGCATTTGCACTGAACTCTAAGAGTCCAAATCGTGCTGTAGTACGGCTCGATTATCAAAAAGGCATCGAGGAAGCCTCAGTCTGGCTGCAGTGCCAACGTGTGCTCGTGCATTTATGAAAAAACGCAAACGCCACGAACCCATCTTGCCCCGCGCGGCGACGTCACAGCCGCACGTCTCGTCGGCTCCTAGGCAGCACCGACAGCCGAGACCGGGGGACGCGGCCTCGCGCTCCCCCCCCCTACCTGTGCTCCCACCACGCCTGGTTGTACTGCTCGGACGAGACGCGTCCGTCGAACACCTTCCAGCGCCACTGGTCGATGAGGAATCCGAACGGCAGGAAGGCCACCTTGTCCAGGGCCATGCTCATCAGGAAGTTGATGTCGCTCTCTGCTCACGCGCAAAAACGCGACGGCGGCTTAAAAGCGGCCGCCACCGCGTCGATCGCCGCGAGCCACGGGGGGGGGGGGGGGGTCACGCTCCGCGAGCGCCCGCTCTGAACTGTTAAAACCCCCCCCCGAGAAATGTTTAGAGCCACTGACCTATATATGTATGTGTAAGTCTTTTATTCAGAAGCGACCTGGCTATCACAAATGTGACAACTCGACCAAGTGACCGATCGCGGTGGACATTTATAGCAGCCAAGTACTCGAAAAGCGCGATGTTGAGTCTCAATGTGCGAGGCAAAAAAACCGGAGGGCCCGGAGGAAATATCCACGCGACCACGGGGAGAACATGGAAACAGCAGGCGTCAGGGTCGACATCGAACTCACGATCTCCTGTATACCAGTCAAGGCAGTTAACATCTCGTAACCGTGGCGCCCCACTTCTCCTCGAATCTCCAAGGCTCAACAGAGTCGATCGTGAGCAGCACTTGGACGAGCGACCATGACGGCACGCTATGCTCCCGGGCCTTAAACCAACCCGCACTGACCGGTGTGGCGAAGTACGGTCAAGTGACCCCCCCCCCCCCCACAACACCTCGCGGCGAGGGCGGACCCTCATCCAGCAGCGGATTGACAAAATGGTTGCGGAGGGTACGGACGGCCTTGACGCTCACCGTAACTCTCTTCGGCCCGCTCCAGCAGCCCGATCTTCTGAAGGTGACGCGGCGTGGCCACGGACAGCGCCATGACGTCGCCGATGGCCTCGTGGAAGCCCGGGTTGGCTCCGTCGCGGAACGGCACGGGCTGCTCCTTGTACTGCAGGAAGTACTGCACGTGGCCCATCTCGTGGTGCGCCGTCACCAGGTCGTCCATCGTCTGCACCGTGCACTGCTTGATCCTGCGCGCGAGGCCAGGACGCGCGGGCGTGGCGGGCGTGTCGCGTGCCCCAGCGTGGGGCGTTCACGCAGGTGGCCAACAAGGGCGATTTGAGAGCCTGATTCACGCTTGTTGTTATCCGTGTCCCTGTGGTGCCTGGCCCACCGCTCACCTACAATCCCCTCCGTCACCCGGAGCAATCAAGAACCACGGTCGGAACGTCACAGGGGACGTCACAAGGGATGTCACGGGAAGTGATGGAATGTCACAGGGGAAGTCACAAGGGATGTCACGGGAAGTGACGGAATGTCACAGGGGACGTCACAAGAGATGTCACGGGAAGTGACGGAATGTCACAGGGGACGTCACAAGGGATGCCACGGGAAGTGACGGAATGTCACAGGGGACGTCACAGGGGACGTCACATGGGATGAAGAGGACATGACAGCGAGCACAGCGCCGTGTCGGCTCACCTGAAGTCCTTGCGGTTGTGGAAGTTCCAGGCGGAGGCGTGGCACACCACCTTGCGCCCGTCCGCGGGCTTCTCCAGCATCGACTTTTTCCAGAACTCCGGGGGCATTGGGATCATCCCCAGGGATCGGAAGAAGTGGTCCGACTCCTGGAACATCCGCAGGGGCGTCCAATTCTGCACCCGGTGAACCAAGCGGCGGTGAGGGGGGAGGGGGTGGCCAGCCGTTCTTTCTGCACGACTCAACCCACCCGGGACCTTTCCTCAACGGTTGGGGGGGTTCAACTTTAGATAATTGCATTTCTATTCTTGGTTCTTTCGGTAAAGTCACGTAGAAGGGAAATAATAAAATAATAAAAATAAAGCTAAATAAAATTCTCACGACGTTTCGTCCACAACGCAAGCAGCCGTCCACTACGTGACTTTATCCGAAAGAACCAAGAATATGAATCCCTGCAGTCACGAAAGCTTTAAATCGAAATTGTATTTCTATTTGTCGGTTGAGGCCCACTGAGCTATATAGCTTGTTACCGGAAGCGACCTGGGTGGGGGGGCTATCCTGGGTGGGGGGGCTATTCTGGGTGGGGGGGGGCTCTTTTGGGTGTGGGGGGGGGCTCTCTTGGGTGGGGGGGGGCTCTCCTGGGTGGGGAGGCTCTCCTGGGTGGGGGGGCTCTCTTTGGTGGGGGGGCTATCCTGGGTGGGGGGGTTCTCCTGGGTGGGGGGGGCTCTCTTGGGTGGGGGGGGGCTCTCCTGGGTGGGGAGGGGGCTATCCTGGGTGGGGGGGGCTCTCTTGGGTGTGGGGGGGGCTCTCCTGGGTGGGGGGGGCTCTCTTGGGTGGGGGGGGGCTCTCTTGGGTGGGGGGAGCTCTCGTGGGTGGGGGGGCTCTCTTGGGTGGAGGGGGCTCTCCAGGGTGGGGGGGCTCTCCTGGGTGGGGGGGGGCTCTCTTGGGTGGGTGGGGTGGGGGGGGGTCTTTCCTTGCCTTGCTCTGCATGGCTGGCGTGGCGTCCACGGCCGGCGCGTCTGGGTACGGTGTGACGACGTGGTACACGTTGCTCCAGCTCTGAGCCCACACGTTACCTGGGCACACGCACGGCGCAGCGCGGAGTGACGTTCACGGCGGTGGCGTGAGCAGGAACGGATCGACTCACCCCGGACCTTCATCCGGCTGCTCGAGCCATGAATAGGAAGAATAACGTAAGGGCACGGATCTCCGACTTGTATTATAATGATTAACATGCTGTGCCCGATTAAGCTCGTGCAGGGCCTGTAGCATATGTTATAAAGGGGCCCTAAATTTAAAAAAAGAAAAATCACAAATATTAAAACACATGAATTTTTTTACGTGCACAGTAAAGTAAGTGTATTTTTCATTTGCTATACAGCCAGATAATACGACAAATCGCTAACCTTAAACACCCAGTCGTTCAAAAAAGTTGAAGGCAGTATAGTACTATAGTAATAGAGCAAGTGCAGAATCACTGAACCGGAATTGACAGCTTGAAAGCATTTAGCGCAGGGCCCTTGAAAGCGCGGGGCCCGTAGCATATGTAGCTACTTTTGCTATGAGGACAATCCGGCACTGTTAACATGCTCGTTTTAAATTTCGATTTAAAGCTTTCGTGACTGCAAGGATTCATCTTCTTTGGTTCTTTCGGTAAGGTCACGTAGAATGAGAATAAAATAACACAATAAAATTCTCACGACATTTCGGCCACAACGCAAGCGGCCGTCTTCACCTTTCACGGCCGCTTGCGTTGTGGCCGAAACGTCGTGAGAATTTTATTGTGTTATTTTATTATTTTATTCTCATTCTACGTGACCTTACCGAAAGATCTAAAGAAGATGCTCGTTTTACCCAGAAAAAGCCTCACTGAGGCTGGAGACTCGTTTTGAGGAGGGTCCTACCAATGTTTTGTAGTAGGGGTAATGTTGCTATGTCTAATCCCAAGAGAGCAATTTGTATTTCGTCCTAGCTTTGGTAGGAACCCAAAGAACCACGCAGAACAGGGGGAGAACACGCAAACTCCACACAGAGAGGAATCGAACCCAGGCCCCTTCTTGCTGTGAGGCACGAGTTTCACGACTGCGTGCCACCACGCTGTCATCCGGGGGTTCCTTTCGACAAGAGCACGTGAAGGGGATGTGTCGACAGCATGGAGCTACTAGACCAAGATCACACTCAGAAGAGCAAGGTGTGACTGGGAGTGAGCGCACATTCTCACTGGGATGTTCTGTTGTTTTTTTATTTACTCTTTTCATTTTACCAGGTTAAGGCCCCACTGAGCTATACAAAGCGACCTGGCCATCACAAATGATAGATCAGCGAATTGGGCTTATCACGTGGAAATGTACAGCAGCCAAATACTCTAAACGCGTGATGTCGATTCTACATGTAGAAGGAAAAACCGGAGGACCCGGAGAAAAATCCACGCGGCCACGGGAAGAGAGACACGCAGACTCCAAATATACAGCAGCAGGCGTCAGGGTCGACATCGCACCCACGACCTCCTGCGTACCAGGCGAGGTAGCTAACATCTCCTCGCCACCGTGGCGCTCCACGGAGCCGCGGAGCAAACCCACCGAGCAGGTGCGCGGGAATGGGGCCGCGCAGATTGACGAGCCGCTCCCCGTAGCGCCGGTGCAGCCTGCGCCGCACGTAGGCGTGCATGTGCAGGTAGAGGGGCCGCAGCTCGTCGTAGAGGCGCTCCAGGTCGGCCTCGAACGTCTCCGTCTCGTAGACGGAGCGCCACATCTCGCCGCCGTCACGGTAACCTGACGGCACACGAGCACGGCGGCGCGGTGCCCAGCGCGACGCTCGGCGCGTTCGTCGCGGGCGCGCACAGAGGGGCACGACGCCGCGTCGGGCTAATCGATGAACGTCCGTTCCTTCGCTCGTGATGGGCGCGCCGAATCGTGCGCGTGAGAACGTGTGCTTTTGACTTTGTATACGCTCTACGCAAACAGGTTCACCGACCCCTGCAGCCAGGAGAGGCGCTATTAAAAAACAAAAATCTGCAACGGCAACCCTGATAACGACAATGTATCAGTTGCCGTGGAGGTGATTTATTACGGCTCTCGTGTGGCTGGCATCACTGTGCTGTTAAAGTGACACCAGGAGTCGTTCTGGGATGTCATCCTCTGGGGCAAGTCTCTAACACAGGCGGGTGCACTGCTCACTGCAACAGTTCCAAGTGGCTATTTCTTCATCTCTTTATTGTGGCTGACAGTGACGTTAGAATGTAATGGGTCGCGAAGAAATTCAACAAGAAATGAAATCACAAAAGGAAAGCAAGGCCAATGTTGCTGTACATCGTGGTTATTGTTCCACCGCGTGAATTTCAATCGCTCGAACCGTTGAGCCGGGCGGCCTCGTTGCTCAGCTCCACGTAGCGCGTGAAGTCGCTCCTCATCTTGCGCCCGGAAGCGTTTCGCCATCCCTCCCAGTACCAGAGGAGCTCCTCGTGGTCCTGCGACTTGGCCATGGTGAACGTGATGTCTGCTCACACGCGGCAGGGGGGCACGGTCGGACGGGCACGCGAACAGGTGGGGCACACGGTCAGAAGGGGGCACGCGCACAGACGGGCACGCGGACAGAGTGATCTGGTGAGAATAGGAGGTTCATGGGTCCTTCCAAGGGGAAAAAACCCAAGTCATCATGAGTGCGCCCTCCGACCACTGTGTTGTGTTTCTCAATGTCAAAACTTTCGCAAAATCGAAGTAGAAACCCAGCGGCCGCCCACAACAGGCACTTTCTCAGCCCTGCGGACTCAAAGGGAAACTCATCCCAGCTCGCTCGCTCAAATGAGGAGCAGCCGTCGGGCAGGATAACAAAGGCAGTGGCGCCTCCGTGCCAGATGTCGAGCCACGTCTAATTCTGGGCAGCCAACGCGCTTCCTTCACCGCTCCGCACGTGCCGCACACGCACCACAGATCCCAGACCCCTTCTCCCGGCGCCGCGTCTCCCTCCTCTCGCTGTCCTGTCTTCGTGTGCCGTGCGCACCCCAGCACCCCCACCGCGCCCCGTGCAGACGTGAGCGGCGACATCCTCGCAAAGAGGTGCGGTGCTCATCGGAGAGCGGAAAGCCGTAACCGCCCGACTCCTCCGTCGTGCCGTGTGACCGCCACATCGTGTGCACGGTGCTCTCGGCTTCCTTCGTTTCCCGTCGCGGTGAGCTGTCTCGTCGCCGACAGAAAGCGTCGGATTTGAATGACGCGGCAGCGTTGCCAAGCCGGGTGATGAAAACGGCAGGATCGCGAGTTTTAAGACGTCTTGACCGGACATCAATTTCGAGAGCGAGCCCGTGCACGAAGAAAGTCGTTTCATCATGTTAGAAGTCATCCCGTGTTAATGGGGTTTAAAAGCTGACAGCTTCCTGCTTAAATTGGTAGGGATGGCAAGCGTGCAATAAGACCCATTGTGGAGCAATCCAACACAAACTAAACAACTATTGAACAAAAAAAAACTGTAAACGATAAAAAGTGAAACTCTATTTTTATATTACCAGGTAAGGCCCACTGAGCTATGTAGCTTTTTTCAGAGACGATCTGGCCACAAATGATTGCTCAACGAAGTGGCTTATCACGTGGACATTTATAGCAGCCAAATACTCTAAACGCGTGATTGTTTTTAAATGTGGAGGGAAAAACCGGAGGACCCGGAGAAAAAAATCAAGCGACCACAGAGAGAGAGTAACACGCAAACTCCAAATATACAACAGCAGGCGTCAGGGTCATGATCTAACCCACGACCTTCTGTATACCAGGTGAGGGAGTTAACATCTTCTAACCACCGTGATGATGATGAGAGAGAGAAACACGCAAACTCCAAATATACAGCAGCAGGCGTCAGGGTCAGGATCGAACCCACGAACTCCTGTATACCAGGCGAGGTAGTTAACATGTCCTAGCCACCGTGGTGATTATGAGAGAGAGACACGCACACTCCAAATATACAGCAGCAGGCGTCAGGGTCAGGATCGAACCCACGAACTCCTGTATCCCAGGCGAGGTAGTTAACATCTCCTAGCCACCGTGGCACCCCAAACACAGCATCCATCACATTCCCTCAGCCAGCCCTGACCCATTCACAGAATTAACGACTCGATACCGAGCACTGAGCACAGCTGGCGTGAGGAATCGTGATACGGGTCACGTTAGTGTCTGCAAGCCCAGCCAGGGTGCCTTACCTGGGTCCAAGGGATGGCACTTCTCTTCCCGGCAAACTTCTGCAACGCTGTACGTCATCGCCATCCTCGTCGTGATCTCATTGTACTGCGAGCACAGAGTGGTGACGGTGCGTGTGATTATAATAATTAATAATAATAATAATAATAAAAACACATTCGTTCATTGCTTATTATTGCGTTCCGTCCGTGGACATCGCGGATTCTGCATCAGCTTTCTCTGTTCGCCATCAATACGCGCCATCTGCCTCACAATGGACGGCAATGATCCCGTGACGCTGTTCGGAGGGGAAATAAAAGAGTTGGTCATCACGGTCCAAATGTGAAATTACGACACCGCAAATGACGACATTGGGGAAAACGCCACGGCAATCCTCGGCCGCTCCTGCGAAAACCCTGCGAGATGCTCCTGAAAAAGACTTGAGTGAGGGCAAGGCATTCCTGGGTAAACATAACCGTGACTTGATCAAATAAACTTTAAAAAAACAACCATTCCTTTGGATGTTGATTAACTGTGAGCAGCCAAGTATGCGTACTGCAAATGATCTGCGTACTCTTCTTAGATTAATATATGGTGCATACAAAATGTTTGATGATGTATGTACCTTGTGTTAACCTAAGAGTATTATTACGTGCACACATTACGTATGTTGAGTAACTGTGCATAACCCAACTACTAATAGGTGTCCATTATAATTTATGACTCCATTAACCCCTCTCTGGTCTTCGCACCTGATAGACTCACAGTGATGACATCACTTTCACCCCTCTATTTAAGACCGAAACGGGAGGAATTCTCCACTTCTCTGGCTGTCGCCTGATGAGGCTGGTTGTAATTACCAGCGAAACCTCGTACTCGAATCGGAATTGTTGTGGGTTTACTCTCCAATACACCGGTGTGCTGAACTAGTAACCAATTGGCACGTTTTGTTCACGTGACGAACCTTACTAATTGGCTGTGTCGGGTGGTGGCGGCTTTAACGACGCATTTATATTTACGCGATCTTCCCCCCCAAAAAACCCTCTAATATGGATAACATTGGTCGCGAAAGCCTACGTCTTAAACAAATCAAATTGAATGCAACGAATATTTTTAGTGTGCTTTGGGCATTGATGCAGCAGTTTGCTGAGAGCGCTCTACGTTTGAAGACGAGGACGACGAGCAGGAGGGAGGACGCTGTGCCCACCGGACGGACTCACCTCGTCGAGTTTGTCAACGGGCAGGGCGGCCACGCCGATTTGACCGATCCTCTTGAGTTGCCGCTTGATGCCCTCGTCCCGGAAGTTGCGCCAGTCGAAGCCCTTGGCCCTGAGTCCGAACTCCACCGAGTGGTTGGCCACCTGCAGGCTGGCCAGTTGCTGCGCGAGGCGACACCGCGCGCGCGCGCGCACGCCACGACATGTCAGCCGTGCAGTAACGATAATCGTAACGCCCTGTATCCAACACTGGGAAGTTTGGCCAAATTCCATGAATTGGGGTGTTTTTTTCCACAAGAGAGGTTTTTTTTGGGGTTCACACCGGTGTGCTGGTACTCGAATTGCAAATGTTGTAGTGGGTTTACTCTCCAACACGCCGGTGTGCTGAACGAATTGGAATGTTTTGATTACGTGACGAACCTTACTAATTGGCTGTGTCGGGTGGTGGCGGGTTTTAACGACACATTTATATATTTACGCGATCTAACTAAAAAAAAAACCTCTATCATGGGTAATATTGGCCGCGAAAGCGTGTCGAGCGGGTATTTTTTTCTCTTCATGAGGGAGTAAAGTAGAGTGCCCATGGGGATAGCACTCGAAGGTCCACACAGAGAGATGCGAGAATCAATTATCCGTACTGGCGTTTCCCGGCAACCACGCAGCCCAGCGATGTTGATAGTCGCACAAGTCCGCGCGATCGATGGACCCTCTTGGGTTGTATCACCACGTGTTGTTCGACACGAAGACCGACGTTTCACCCCACAACGCCGGGAGCTTCTCCATGAACTGAATTGACGCGGTGACAACCCAAGATCACATCAGAGAGCAATACGGCCAGAAACCCCTATGCAGTTGTCAATGAATCCACCACTCCCTCAGTGTCCCCTTCAGAGGCAATACTTTTGCTTCTAGCCGGGCGGTGGTGGCCATGCGCGTGGCCTGTCATCCAGCACTGTGGAGGCGAGGGCTGGCGGATAGCACAAACGTGGTCGCCGAGGTGCTATAACTCTGGCTCGCCAACAGGCAGAATGGCACAAATTCAGTCTGGCCTCCGATAACGCGGTAGCTGCGTTCCTGAAGTACGCCGCGCTATGGAAAAACCGCGTTGTTGTTATTAATCGTATATAATACAGGGCAAATCACAGTCTGCTATAACACGTGAGATGCGTACGCATCTTGATTTGAAGCTTTCGTGACTGCAGGAATCCATTCTCTTTGGTTCTTTCGGTAAAGTCACGTAGGTAGAAAAAATAAAAAAAAATAAAAAATATATCACGACGTTTCGATCGCAACGCAAGCGATCGTCGTCATGCTGTGTTTATTCCTGGTTCAGCAGTCCTACTGCTTGATTATTTTTTCTGCCTGAAGATGATTGCTTGTGTTGCGATCGAAACGTCGTGATATATTTTTATTTTTATCGTATTTTTCTACCTCTGTGACTTTACCGAAAGAACCGAAGAGTATGCGCACGCATGCTGAACAAAGACTAAAAGCGCGTGGGTGGCATCCAGAAGCATCCAGCAGCATCCCGCCTTGTGCGATGCCGCGCTTATTCCTAATCGCGCGACATGGTCATGTTCACTAAATCGCGTCATATCCAATTCGCATCCGCGTCATAAAACACGTGTATCCCCAAATACATTCATCGCGTTACATATCCAGTTCGCGCGTTGAAAACACGCGTGACGGGAGAACGGACTGTACGGATTCCACCGGCCGTCTGTACGAGCGTTTCCTCCGCGCACGCGCGGCTTGTCTCCAGGTGCTCCCGTTTCCTCTCGCACGTGCAAATGCTCACTAGCTGGCAGCGCTTGGCCAAATGTTGGGTGCCGGCTGCCTTCCCGCTCGCCCCTGATTCCCCGCGCCTCTGAGTTGCTCTCTCTCCCCCCCCCACGACAGTGAGCGAATACTTTGCGGCCCGTGCATTACAAGTCGACAATTATGATTTTACGCCAAAGACCCATCTCTACGGAGTTGCGACGAGACGTCTGCCCTGCCGCCCGTCGCAAGGAGGCCCCCCCCGTCGTTCATCTGGCGCGGGTGCTCGTGGGCGTGCGTCAAGCCGCGTCCGCGTGGGTGCGTGGTCTGGTGGGACCCCCACGAGGAGGACACCGCTGAGGTCAGGAGGCTCGCGCGGGGCGCTGGCCTGCGCCGGTTCGCACCACGAGCTGCTCGTTCTCCTTCGTGATGTTGGTGTTGAGAGCCCATGAGGCCTCGGAGAATGCGTTCCACTGTTTCTCGGCGGTCACGCTGAACTCCTCGAGCAGCGCTGCCGCCTGACGCTCGTCCACGTTCTTGTCTGCGCGACACAACAAGGACGAGGTCGCTGAGCCAGGCAGACTCGGACGATATTAAGCCGTGGCCTTAAGGACTCACAGGCTGATTTTAAGCAACCACCGCAGGTCCCGGTACGTACAAGCCAAAGTCGAGTGGTTTTAACCGGGTGAGAACTCGAGAAACCAGGAAATGCAAGAGTGACCCCGGTTAAATAAAATGACAAAAAGCCCAACAAAGAAAGCACAGCAATAACGATGTGTTTGTGACATAGCGCCATTTCAATGTGGCACCCCCAGTGGCAGCTCTCCCTGTGCGCAGAAGGTGGCTCAGCACCTGGCATGCCGGTAGGAGGGGGGGGTGACGGCAGGGGGGGCGACAATTGCTCGGTGTGCACAAAGAATCGGGGACCAACCCAGGCTCCCGGGGTAGTCGTCCGGCACGGGGGGTCTCCAGTCGTAGTCGGGCCAACCGAGCACCTCCCCGTTGCGAGCGTTCTCCTCCCGGAGCCACTCCACCACCGGCTGGAAGTACTCGACGAGCGGCAGAGCACTCAAGGCCTCGGCGCCGGTCGCCTCGCGCAGCACCTCGGGCCACGGGCGGCTGGAGCCCGCCTGCAGGGCTCGCCTGGACAAAGGTGGCTCCGTGAAGCCCTTAACAGACTCGTAGGCGGATGCCGGCGCTGGTTGGCGAACGCCTCGCGACGGCGGGTGGGCGCGTGACGCACCGAGTGGCCGGTGTGCTCAACCGGCCATGCGCAGGCCACCCCTGTCTCCCCGGTCCTGTCGTTTAGCCACTGCGGCAGCCAAGTTAGAATTTGTTTTTGGAACGGCGGGTGAGTTGATCTGAGCGAGGCTCAGAACTGGTACGGACATCACTTGTTAGCTGTGTTGTGAACCGACGATCCCGGTTCACGTGGCGCGCTAACCACTATCCGGCACACGCACGCACACACGCGCAACGACACAGATGAACCCATGCAGCCCGCACAGGCCGTTGGGGCAATTGCTGTTAGCGAGGAACCCTATAAGACAATTTCGCAGGCGCGCATTCACCAAAAAAGACACAAATCACTAAACGATTTGTTTCGTGACATAGCACCGCATAAGTCGCGCGTCTCAGAACAGGGATGCCTGCCACCCCGAGTGGCAGGCATCCCTGTGGGCACGCAAGGTGGATGCAGGGAATGCTGGGGCTGGACTCTGCGCCGCCAAATCTCCCTTTGGCCGCCCGAGTTCACTCTGCTCGGCGGAATAATCACTGTGATCATGGCGAGGGGAGGGGGGGGGGGGTGCCCAACTCCCCCTCACACAACAGCTCTTCCGTTCCCACCCCGGCTAGAGCCGGGCTCTGGGGCGTGCCGAGGCATCGCAGGTGCGTTCCTCGCTACGCCGCGAGCAGGGGAGACGGCGACGACGCGGCGGAGGTGGTGGGGCCCCACGCTAGACGGAGGCTTGCGCGGTTTGCGGAGTAGGGAAGTCACGACATCGCCACCTCCTCCTCGTTCATGCGGGGCCCCCTAGTGTCCTGCACGTGCAGCTACAGCTTCTCCTCCGGTCTTCACCGCAAACTGAATTCACGATGGTCATGCGCGAGAGTTGTCTCACAGCCAACAGTGTTGACACTACAAAACTGACAGCCATAAACTACGTTTCTTTTACCAGGTAAAGCCTACCACTGAGCTAAAAAGCTCTTTTTTTTTAGAAGCAACCTGGCTATCACAAACAGTAGTTCAACGAAGTTGCTTATCACGTGGAAATGTATAGCAGCCAAATACTCGTGATGTCAATTCTAAATGTGGAGGGAAAATCCGGAGGACCCGGAGAAAAATCGACGCGAACACGGGGAGAGAGAGACACCGCAAACTCCAAATATACAGCAGCAGGCGTCAGGGTCGGGATCGAACCCACGCGCTCCTGCGAGATGTTAACCCCCGTGACCTGCATGGCATTGGAAGGCCGTCGCCCCCATGTCCTGCGTGGCTGGGTGGGTGTAGCGACCCGCTCCTCGTGCACCCGCATTGGCATGGCTCGCTATGCGGTGTGTGTGGGGGGCGTGCGGCATGCTGAAGACGACGACGCACGCGAGCAGGCTGCCGGCCTCCACGGAGCCGTGGATGTCGCACGTGTGCAGGGACCCCGCGTGCCCCGCGGCCGTGCACAGCGCCTTGTGCAGCTGGAACTGGAGGATGAAGCTCACGAAGTACCTGCACGCGGGCAGGACGGCAGGGACACCGAGGTCTCCGACTGCTGCCGGGCGGCGTCGTTGCCACACGATTAACGTCGGCTTTATCGCCATTGCCACGGCCATCGCCGTGATTGGCGCCGCAGGAGCTTCTGAGGATCGAAGAGGCTTTAAAACTCCACCCCAGGCTTTTGCCGCTCTCCGGTGACCGTGCGTGTGCCGGTGGATTCACCGAGGAGTCGGAATGTGCCGGCAGTGACTTCATCATCGGCGCTTTCTCCACCACACGGGCGCGCGCCGGATCCGGGACATCGTTGCACATTGCCTGTGCATTTCAGTGATCAATGTACCATCAACGATCAATGAATCCACCTGCACGTGGCACCTGAGACGACCAACTCAATCCGGGGTGGCATTTACAGCCTCCTCAGAGACCACCTGTGATACTTTGATGTTGAAAAAGACTGGCAGAGATATGATATTGGCATTTAAATCGTATCGCAATGATAGAAGGAGACTGCATCGAAGCTGGACCCAAAGAGTGAGCAACGTAGAAACAAGAGAAGGGTGGCACATCGAAGAAGACAACCCGATGATGCAGGCAGTGATGAGAAGGAAAGTGGCACTATGTGTACACGTGTGTATGATGGACAACAACAGGAACAATAAAAGTGTTTCATGGAACCTCCTTCTGCAAGTATCAAAATATACGATAGGTTTTCCCTTTTCTGGCAATAAAACAGTTTGTGTTAAGATGTTAAAACACCAAACTGAAACCTTTTGCAAGGAGTCGTGTCTGCATTAACCACTTATGCTTGTGGTTAAAATACAGATTAAAAAAAAACACGCTCTGACAGTATATGCATTGCAAACCTATTCTGATATTCTATTAAAAGTGTTGTTGTTGTTGTCGTTCGTAAAAATGGAAGGAAGCGGACAGAGAAAAAAAAAAGACCTGAACAGAGACTGACGACGACATCACAAGAGATTGGTGCCAGAGTGACGTGGCCATTACTTAAGCGTACTGGCACAAGGCAGAGAGGAAAGCGGAAAGAGATGACGAACTGTGCAGTGCACACCTACGGGGGCTATCTGCCCATGCAGCGCGATGAGCATGACGACAGAGCTCACCTGCGAGTCGCCTCTGGGAGAACCGCGTTACCTGATGTAGGGAGAATTTGCCGCGACGTGGTATTTGGCGCCGGCATCGAAGTCCTCCTCGGTCCTGGGGACCCCGGGGCAAATCCCCTGGTACTTGGTCCTGCAGGATGAGCGAGCGCATTCGGGGGTGGGGGTGGGTGGGGCTCAGAAGTGACCCCCACGTAGTTCCACAGCGGCGGCGTGGTGACCTCCTCACCTCTTGAGATAATCAGCCCAGCGGGGGGTTGTGTCTACACGACACAGAGCCGTGTGAGCCAATTAACTGGGCCCTCCATTCCAACACTCTGCACAGAGGACTGGAGGGAGGGAGGAAGGGAGGGCTGCCACCTTAGAAGGTGGTCGTACGTCATGGACGATTTTTTTTAAATATAATTTGTCAACCACTATTCTTGACGTACATTGCATTTAACGTAGATGTCACACTTCATTTGTATACTGTCAACGCCGTTTTGCCGAAGGGAGCCACTCTGTGTGTGTCACAGCGGAGACAATTTATGTCTCACCCCCCCCACAACCCCCTCCAGAATGTGAAACGACTCCACCAGCTCCGCGAGCCTGTGGAAACTCCACCTCCGACTAAAATAAGTAACATTTAAAAAAAAACTTTTTTCAACACGCTTTTATGAAATGTACCGTACTAGTAATGGAAGAACTCCACGACTCCAGGAAGTGGCCCCGAAGCTTGCCACAACGTAAGGGGGCCGTGGTGATTTACAGCCAATATCAGTTGACAGTGGACAATTAGAGCCAAGCCGAAACATAACATATATAAAAAAGAATGTTTAAAAATACATATTTTTAAGATAGAATATCGTATTGTCATCAGTATGACATAAGTATACCAAGTTTGCAGTCGATACCACATTGGGAAGTGGGTTAAAATTGAGTTACAAGATTTGAGGATACAACAACGACAACAACAACGACAACAACAGAGTGAGTTAAATGAAAGCGTGTACAAACAACGACCGAGGGAGACGCGTAGGAGGGACGCCTACCCCGTGACGCTCGCCCTGTGGGACCTAATGCCCCCCCCCCACCTCCCACCCCTACCTGAGGTGCCACCAGTCGTGGTTGTATCGCCCGGGAGGGGTGTGCCCACTGAACACATCCCAGCGCCACTGGTCGACGAGGAACCCGAACGGGAGGAAGGCGATCTTCCCCAGCGCCATCCACAGCAGGAAGTTGATGTCGCTCTCTGCTGGCGCAGGGCCGAGATTAGGACTCGACAGGTTGGGACTCATCAGGTTAGTGACAGGTTGGGACTCATCAGGTTAGTGACAGGTTGGGACTCGTCAGGTTGGGACTCGTCAGGTTGGGACTCGTCAGGTTAGCGACAGGTTGGGACTCGTCAGGTTGGAACTCAACAGGTTGGGACTCGTCAGGTTGGGACTCCTCAGGTTGGGACTCGACAGGTTGGGACTCCTCAGGTTGGGACTCGACAGGTTAGGACTCCTCAGGTTGGGACTCCTCAGGTTGGGACTCATCAGGTTGGGACTCGTCAGGTTAGGACTCGACAGGTTGGGACTCGTCAGGTTGGGACTCGTCAGGTTGGGACTCGACAGGTTGGGACTCGTCAGGTTAGGACTCGACAGGTTGGGACTCGTCAGGTTAGCGACAGGTTGGGACTCGTCAGGTTAGCGACAGGTTGGGACTCGTCAGGTTGGGACTCATCAAGACAGCGTCAGGTTGGGACTCGTCAGGTTGGGACTCGTCAGGTTGGGACTCGTCAGGTTGGGACTCGTCAGGTTGGGACTCATCAAGATAGCGTCAGGTTGGGACTCGTCAGGTTGGGACTCGTCAGGTTGGGACTCGTCAGGTTGGGACTCGACAGGTTGGGACTCGTCAGGTTGTGACTCATCAGGTTGGGACTCGTCAGGTTGGGACTCGTCAGGTTGGGACTCGTCAGGTTGGGACTCGTCAGGTTGAGACTCGACAGGTTGGGACTCGTCAGGTTGTGACTCATCAGGTTGGGACTCGTCAGGTTGGGACTCGTCAGGTTGGGACTCCTCAGGTTGGGACTCCTCAGGTTGGGACTCGACAGGTTAGGACTCGTCAGGTTGGGACTCGTCAGGTTAGCGACAGGTTGGGACTCGTCAGGTTGGGACTCGACAGGTTAGGACTCGTCAGGTTGGGACTCGTCAGGTTGGGACTCGTCAGGTTGTGACTCCTCAGGTTGGGACTCGTCAGGTTGGGACTCGTCAGGTTGTGACTCCTCAGGTTGGGACTCATCAGGTTGGGACTCGTCAGGTTCGGACTCCTCAGGTTGGGACTCGTCAGGTTGGGACTTGTCAGGTTGGGACTCATCAGGTTGGGACTCGTCAGGTTGGGACTCATCAGGTTGGGACTCGTCAGGTTGGGACTCGTCAGGTTGGGACTCCTCAGGTTGGGACTCGTCAGGTTGGGACTCAACAGGTTGGGACTCCTCAGGTTGGGACTCGTCAGGTTGGGACTCATCAGGTTGGGACTCGTCAGGTTGGGACTCGTCAGGTTGGGACTCATCAGGTTAGCGACAGGTTGGGACTCATCAGGTTGGGACTCATCAGGTTAGCGACAGGTTGGAACTCAACAGGTTGGGACTCATCAGGTTGGGACTCCTCAGGTTGGGACTCGTCAGGTTGGGACTCGTCAGGTTGGGACTCGACAGGTTGGGACTCGTCAAACCAACTAGCGCCAAGGTTCTGCTCCACCTGTTTTTCTATGAGTCACTTTTTACGATATGTTATAATTTTCTAAGATGTTATATGTTATAAATACGCTATCATTCACAATGTCGTAATTTTTTTTTACAATATGTATTACATGTTCCATCACATCGTGGTTATTAATACATACATTTCCCATAGCTTTGTACTTTTTTCCCATTTTTATTTAATTGTTTTTTGTGCTTTACTTGGCACCTTGGATTAAGGCGTTGTATACATCTACACAAGATAAGCCTGCCAGACGTGTTCTAATCATCACAACGTTATAATCCACAACACATATTGATGGCAGTCGCGAAATAATTCATTGGTTACCCGAACTACCAAAATCACGTCATATAAACACGTGCCGTTAATTCCTCCGGAAGGGCTTTGCGTCGCTAAGAGGAACATCGGACATTCGAGACAGGCCAGCCACACCAGCTCACTCCGCTGACCACCGCAAACTTCCACATCCTACAGGGCATGTCCAATAATCTGCTTTTCTTACCTAGAACCATCGGGCCGAGCGCTGTTTCTCTGTAGCCGCATCATCATCTGGAACTTTCTCCCAACGCACATTTGCAGTATCCAAGCATTATCCACAGTCAAGCAGTGACTCAAGGCTCTCCTGTTCGGGGCCTTACCAATTCTATCTCTCACCTGTCCAGGCGCTCACCTGTCCAGGCTCTCACCTGTCCAGGCTCTCTCCTGTCCAGGCTCTCACCTGTCCAGACTCTCACCTGTCCAGACTCTATCCTGTCCAGGCTCACACCTGTCCAGATTCTCACTTGTCCAGGCTCTCATCTGTCCAGACTCTCACCTGTCCAGGCTCTCACCTGTCCAGATTCTCACCTGTCCAGGCTCTCATGTGTTCAGGTTCTCACCTGTCCAGACTCTCACCTGTCCAGATTCTCACCTGTCCAGGCTCTCATCTGTCCAGACTCTCACCTGTCCAGACTCACCTGTCCAGACATTCACCTGTCCAGGCTCTCACCTGTCCAGGCTCTCACCTGTCCAGACTCTCACCTGTCCAGGTTCTCACCTGTGCAGGCTCTCACCTGTCCAGATTCTCACCTGTCCAGACTCTCACCTGTCCAGACTCTCACCTGTAGAGATTCTCACCTGTCCAGGCTCTCATCTGTCCAGACTCTCACCTGTCCAGGCCCTCACCTGTCCACACTCTCACCTGTCCAGACTCTCACCTGTCCAGACTCTCTCTTGTCCAGGCTCTCACCTGTCCAGGCTCTCACCTGTCCAGGCTCTGACCTGTCCAACTGTCACCTGTCCAGACTCTCACCTGCCCAGACTCTCACCTGCCCAGACTCTCACCTGCCCAGACTCTCACCTGGCCAGGCTCTCACCTTTTCAGGCTCTCACCTGTCCAGGCTCTCACCTGTCGATACTCTCACCTGTCCAGACTCTCACCTGTCCAGGCCCTCACCTGCTCAGGCCCTCACCTGGCCAGGCTCTCACCTAGCCAGGCTCTCACCTGGCCAGGCCCTCACCTGGCCAGGCCCTCACCTGGCCAGGCCCTCACCTGCCAGGCTCTCAGCTATCCAGACTCTCACCTGTCCAGGCCCTCACCTGCTCAGGCTCTCACTTGTCCAGACTCTCACCTGTTCAGGCTCTCACCTGTCCAGGCACTCACCTGCTCAGGCTCTCAGCTATCCAGACAGACGTATTTGGGACTTGGAGCTCTGACTCCACGCCTCCGAGTTCGCGATCGAACATTGCCTCTGATTCTTGAAATATGTGGTCATTATGAATCGTGTTTATGAACATTATTCCATTTGGTTCTCAAGTCAGGTCAGTTGATGGGCTCAGCCCGGTTATTAAATACTGCACACAAAAAAATAGTTCTGCACTTGATTTGATTAAATGCCAACTCTGAAAATAAAATGTATCAGTTTGTCTGTCATGCAACCAACATTGCTCTGAAATGCAGAGCGGGTGGTAAAGTGACCTCTGGCATGCGAACCAGCGGTCACTTCAAGGAATCTCAGAAGTAGCTCTGTCACAGCCACTTCTGTGGGCCATGTCCTCCCATTAAAGAGGGTTGCATTGCTCTGTGCGAGTTTCGAATGGATACTCCTTCTCACGACGTGACACGTATAGCATAACTTGCATAAAATTGGGAGGGAAAAAATAGTGAAGATTGGCACAGACCAGAAAAATCACAGCGTTGCTACGAGTGAATACGCTTGCCTGGATCCTCGACGTAGCTGGGCTCCAGCAGCCCGATCTTCTTCAGGTGACGCGGCGTGGCCACGGACAGCGCCATGACGTCGCCGATGGCCTCGTGGAAGCCCGGGTTGGCTCCGCGCCGGAACGGCACGGGCTGCTCCTTGTACTGCAGGAAGTACTGCACGTGACCCATCTCGTGGTGCGCCCTCACCAGGTCGGTCATCGTCACCGACGTGCACTGCTTGATCCTGCGGAGACGGAAGCCACGCGTGGCCTGGCTCACGGTGGTTGGAGTGGCCGGGGTGGCGGTGCGATGGATGAGTGTGGCTGAATGAGTGGACCATATTTCACGTAAGTCAAATTACAGATTGACTTTCAGCAGATATATATAGAGAATGCGTGTAATTATCCGATAGCCATAATGTTTATTTACATTGGCAAAGGAAGTGATGTGTTTTCCTGCAGCTTTAACCCATTTGTGATGTAGGCATACTGAGACAGAATCTATTCGCGATGCTCATGAAGCTTTACATTTTAAAGAACGGCATGCAGAAGGAGATATCACAGAACTTATTCTGAAATTATTTCAGCTGACCTCTATACTACCTGGCCTGCCACAGATACATTTTGGTTGCATGATAGTCAAAAATAAATTTTGATTTAAAGCTTTTGTGACTGCAGTAATTTATATTCTTAGCTCTTTCGGTAAAGTCACGTTGAAGGGAAACAATAAAATAATAAAATATATATATAACAATAAAAATTCTCACGACGTTTCGACCACAACACAAACGGTCGTCATCAGGTGTGTACCTTAAACATGGTAGGACCAACACCTCGGCCGTGGCAGATCACTGTTATAATTCAGTAGGCTCACATGACATTGACTTCTCCAATACAGAGGTTCTTTGTAAGCCATATGGCTACCATGAGAGATTCGTTCATGAGGCTATCCACGTATACAAGCACAGAGACAATTTCAACCGAGAAGATGGATTCTGGCTTAGCAATCATTGGAAAGATTTGATAAACCATTTCAGGTCTTAATTGATTGTTCACGCTTACAGTGGCTTTCAGACAGCATACATTAATTTTTCGTCTCCCCCCTCCTCTTTTCAGAACATAGATGGACTAGTCCTTCTAAATAAACTGCCAAATCGCTGCGCGTGGCGCTGACGTTTTTTATAAATAAATAAATACGCCGTTTAAAAATAAATACATATATGCAAACCGACACACCTGATGACGACCATTTGTGTCGTGGTCGAAACGTCGTGAGAATTTTTATTGTTTTATATATTTTATTATTTTATTGTTTCCCTTCAACGTGACTTTACCGAAAGAGCTAAGAATAGTCAAAAATAAGTTTTGAATCGTCAGAAATGGAATAAAGCCACAGTGGAAAGCCATATCCAGTTTGTTGGCGGTTTTTTGTGCTGTTATTGGTGACCATCAGCTCACTGTGCTTGAGAAGCTAAGAGTGGAGTGTAGGGCTCCCTCAGCCACCCGGTTGTGGAACAGCTGGTGCCAGGTTGGCCCGGCAAGGCTACCCGTGGTAATTCTGGACTGAGCCCACTTGCCCGATTCGAAAGAGCCGATAAGGGCTCCGTTTCCCAGTCGGCCGTGGGGAAAGCGGCATCGATTAATTCGGCAGCACCGGAGTACGTGGCGCCCCGGCACTCGCCTGAAGTCCTTGCGGTTGTAGAAGTCCCAGGCGGAGGCGTGGCACACGACCTCGCGCCCGTCCGCGGGCTTCTCCAGCATGGAGCCGTTCCAGAACTCCGGGGGCATCTCCATGAGGCCCAGCGAGGTGAAGAACTCCTCCGAGACGCGGAACATGTGTGTGGTGTTCCACCCCTGAGCCGCCCGATACAGCCCCCGGTGGGAGTGAGGGGGCGGGAGGACAGCAGCCTCGGGTCACCCACGGTTTGCGAGATGTTGACTACCTCGCCTGGTAGACAGCAGGTCGTGGGTTCGATTCCAACCCTGACGCCTGCTGCTGTATATTTGGAATTTGCCTGCGTGGATGTGGTCGCGTGGATTCTTCTCCGGTTTTTCCCTCTGTGTTTAGAATCAACACGCGTTTCGAGCGATTGGCTGCTATAAATGTCCACGTGACAAGCCACTTTGCTGAGCTATCATTCGTGGCCAGCTCGCTTCTGCAAAAAAGATCTATATTGCAGTTCAGTGGGCCTTACCTGGTTAATTAAAAAGAGTTTCGTTTCGTGCCGCTTGAGGCGTGTGGTGGCAGCCTCTCCGTGGTCCAGTGCGAAGCTGGCGCTTAGATAGAGGGCTTTGCGATTCACCCCTCCAGCGGTTAGATTAATATCCAGTGATTCGTGATCATCTTTTTTATTGCAAGAAATACATTTATACCTCTCTTTTCACTGCCTTGTTTACATAGTTCGTCATTATCCCTGCCTTGTTTGTGCATATCAATGTTCTTCATCAGCCTTAAACGTAACCTTGGTATACAGTTTTCACTTCACTCACGTCATCCAACAAAATAATGCACTCTTCCACACGATTCGACGTGCTCGTTGCGGGTCCAAGCATCGATTTCGTTTGACGATTCGACCTACTGTAACAGACCGAATCCCCCAAGAGACGAAGGCCGATGTGCTCGGCTCTCGCAGTGGCACCGCGTCCAGGTCGCAGCGTCCCTGACGATGAAGACCGTGCGTCTTCTGCTGATCTCTCCTCGTAAGCAACGGCGTGGAGATGGGTGGCTCGTACAATCTTAAGACTCCACCCCCTCCCTCCTAGCACCACCACCCCATCATGTGGAGCGCCACGGTGGCGAGATGTCAACTACCTGGCCTGGTATGCATGAGGTCGTGGGTTCGATCCCAACCCTGATGCCTGTATATTTGGAGTTTGCGTGTTGTCTCTCTCTCTGGATTTTTCTCCGGGTCCTCCGGGTTTTCCCACCACATTTAGAATCAACATCACGCGTTTAGACTATTTGGCTCCTATACATTTCCACGTGATGATAAGCCACTTCGCTGAGCTATGATTTGTGGCCAGGTCACTTCCGAAAAAGAGCTACGTAGCTCGGTGGGCCTTACATGGTAGAAAAATAAATGAAGACGAAAGAATAAACCTTATGATAAAATCACACGAGGAAGCTAAGCAAATGATGAGCCTGGACAGGACTTAGATGGGTGACCACCATGCAGGAAACAGCCGTTATTGGGATATACGCTGTCAGCAGAGGTCAGTGCAGCATAAACCATTATTGTACTGTACTATGCTCCAGCATCTATGATCTCCGCCTTCGTCAGCCTGCGCTGACCAACGTGGTGGAGCATGGTCATATAACGCCCAAAACCCACACAGCATGGAAGGGCCTTCATTCAGCAGTACATTGTGACAATGGGCTCGACATATATAGAGTCTGTTCTCCTATAACGCCACGATGTTTTCATAACGCGAATTGGATATAACGCGATTGAGTGAACAGAACTACGTCACAGCGCGCGTAGGAATAAGCGGTTGTACGGCTGCCTCGGCGTAGCATCGCACAAGGCACTGGGATGCTGCTGGATGCTTCTAGATGCTACCCACGCGCCTCGGTCTTTGTTCAGCCTGCGGACGCATCACACGTGTCATCGCAGACTGTGCCTCACCCCTATATTGTATATTATTTATTCTAACGCGATGTTTCCCATAACGTTCTTCGGGAGCGCAACTACCACCGCTTTATAGGAGAACTGACTGTACATCAAAAAGCAACGGTGTCCTGGAATTCGGCTGAGCAGGGTCTCTGCCGGGAGAGAGAAAGGGCAACGCTCTACCTGCTCCACCATGGCGCTGGTGACGTCCACGCTGGTCTTGCCGGGGTAGGGCACCACCAAGTCGTAAATGCCCTGCCACTGCTGGGCCCACATGTCACCTGGGGCAATGGTGGGGGGGGGGCGGGTGAGAAAGGGGTCAACAGGGGGTTCGAGAGGGAGAGGGCTCGTGAAGCCGCTGCGGTTTCACGCGTCGCACACACCGGAGGACGCGGAGGAAAATCCACGCGACCACGGGGAGAGAGAGAGAGACACGCCAAACTCCAAATATACAGCAGCAGCAGCAGGCGTCAGGGTCGACATCGAACCCACGACCTCCTGCGTACCAGGCGAGGTAGCTAACATCTCCTCGCCACCGTGGCGCTCCACGGAGCCGCGGAGCAAACCCACCGAGCAGGTGCGCGGGAATGGGGCCGCGCAGATTGACGAGCCGCTCCCCGTAGCGCCGGTGCAGCCTGCGCCGCACGTAGGCGTGCATGTGCAGGTAGAGGGGCCGCAGCTCGTCGTAGAGGCGCTCCAGGTCCGCCCGGAACGTCTCCGTCTCGTAGACGGAGCGCCAGAACTCGCCCGTGTCCGCGAAGCCTGCAAATGGCGCGTACCGCAGAGACAGTCTGTCAACCCCTACCCACCCAACAGTGACCACGTAAAGCCCCGCGAGGTCCAGGGTGACAAGAGGCGATAATGGCTACAACCGTGCTGATGAATCCTAACAAGGATGAAACCGGAGTACTCATTGACCTGCTGCTCCTGCTGCTGTCTAAAATAATAAGGCCACGCTGTTTTTTTTTTTACTTTTGAGTTGGTGGACTTAACACAAGGCTGTGTGCGGTATGGACACGCAGTCCAGCGATGTCACCTGACGTGCAAAACTAAATGAGCGCGGTGTAAAACTGGTAACGGCCACACATCCCGATGCTGAAATGTGACCTGGAAATTACTCAACGGGGATCATTCATGGCAGCAAATTCGCCCCTCTACCGCGCAAAGTTGGTAGAACACTCCTGAAATAAGAATGCCAGACACGATGGGAGGACCGATATAACGGTCACAAATCGTGCCACTTGCTATGTAGAAATCACCTTTTGGGTGTACAGGGCGCCTCCAGCCTGCGCTCACTCTTCCGTCAAATGAGTTTCGTCATCATTCACGGGAAAGCGTTCTAGATTTGCTTAAATCCCGCACCCACAGCCACTCAGCACGCTCCACCATGGGCTCCAGGTGTGGAGATTGAGGGCAATGTTCACGGTGAGGGAGGAGTAACATCCAGTTTTAAAACGGACCCGTCGATCAAGATAAACACACATTTGGAGGATATTTTATTATTACAAAAGCCAGTTTGGCCGATTCCCACCCAGATCGCTCGTTCGCTATTGCAAATGCAGGCTGAATGCGTGCGCGCTCGAATAACAGCGGGAAAACATAAATGTACCCTCGCCAAGTGCGTCTCTGCACGGAGGTATTCCTGCGCTGCCCAGAACTGAAACACTGCTTGATGCATCTCCACTGCCTTCTGCATTTAAGGGATTTAAAAAGATACACCCTGGAGGCATTCTTACCCATTCATGCAAATCTAATTGCATTGGGTATAAGCTAAAACTAAACTGAAGCATATATTTTTTTTATTTTACCAGGTAAGTCACACCGAGCTACGTAGCTCTTTTTCAGAAGCGACCTGGCCGCAAACGAAAACTCAACGAGAAGTGGCTTATCACCTGCAACTGTAAAACAGTCAAAAACTCTAAAACGCGTGTTTATAAATGTGGAGGAGAAAAACCCGGACGAAAATCCATGCGACCACAAGCAGAATATGCAAACTCCCAAGTATAAAGGCGTTACGGCCAGGATCTGACCCACGACCTCATGTATACCAGGCGAGGCGGTTAACATCTCGCCACCATACAAATACGAGCTCTATTGCGATCGCATTGGGTGTCTTATTCCCCTACTGCGTGCCCTGAGCCACAAGTGGCTCGAGGCCAGCATTATCTTATCGAGGATTTTATAGAGCGCTTTTGTCAAAGCGCTTTACAAGAATTAACAACGGCACATCAGTTACTGGCTTACGGGGAAAGGGGATGGGATTTGAGTGCTGGGGGAGAGGAAGGCAGGAAGGAGGATGACGAGAGGGAAGGGAAGGACGAGCTTAGAATGATCGAGCGGCGAAGCTGCGCAGGTCACCTCCGAAGGGGGCCGGGGGGACACGGCACCGTAGGGGGGCGGGGAGGGGGGCACCGTACCGTCGGCGCGCGACGCCTCGTTGCTGAGCTGGACGAAGTGCGCGTACGGAGCACGGAGGGGGCGTCCCACGTCGGTGCGCCACCCCTCCCAGTAGTAGAGCAGCTGTGTGTAGCTTCGGGACGTGGCCATGATGTGGTCTAGTTCTGAGCGGCCACCGCAGACGGCGTGACCTCAGTTTAACGCGGAGTAGTGGGAGGCTTTCGCGACCAATATCGTCCGTGATAAAGGGTTTTTTTTTTTTTTCCGTTGGGTTAGATCGCGTAAATGCAGGGACACCTCTACTTATGAACATTTGACTTACGAACTTTCAGAGATACGGACAAACCTGTCCGTATGTCAAGTTGCCTGTTCGGGTTGCGAGCCGTAAGTTCAGATGGCGGTGGTGGCATCTACATCTGCAGAACATGAATAACCAGTGGCATCTACATCTACAGGAGATTATACAACTTTTAAAGCCATTCCCCGTGTTTAGTGTACATGCCGTACAACATGTTTGGAATCGACTTACGAACAGCCCTCTGGAACCTAACTCATTCGTAAGTAGAGGAGTACCTGTATACATGTCATGAAAGTCGCCACCTATCCGATACAGTCACTTAGTAAGGTTTGTCACGTTAACAAAACATGCAACATCGCCCCCTACTGTGAAAAAAAACCTTGGCAAGAACCCTCCAGCGAAAATGAGTGGAGACTCGGTGCCAATTAGTGAGTACTTTGCAACACATCGGTGTGTTGGAGAGTACACCCACAACAAGTACAATTCGAGTACGATGTTTCGCTGATGATAACAAAATCAGCCTCATCGGGCGACAGGCAGAGTTGTGAAGAAACTCCTCCTGCTTCGGTCTTCAATAGAGGGGGGTAAATGTGAAGTCATCACTGTGGGTCTATCAGGTGCGAAAACCACAGGGGGGTTATTGTCATCATATAAGTTACAATGGATCATGTTAATCTAAGAAAATGCATCACCTATTATTGGTTGGGTTATTCGACAAAAACTCAGCCCACTAGGGCTTTACATTGATTAATGTGCGATTCATAATAGAGCTGGGCCGCACTAATTATCTGAGCAATTGTGTGTCGTTAAGAAACCCTCAACCACCCAACAGCCAATCAAATGTCATTGCCACGTGTATAGGCGTTTACACGCCAGTTATTATTTCGGACCACCGGTAAAGTTGAAGAAGAATCCTCATGACCCAATTCAGCAAACAGACACGACGGCGTTTCGCTTGAAACTAGAATAAGCATCACCAGGACAAGATGCAAGAAGTAAAAATATAAAAATAAAATTATCACGACGTTTCGACTGCAACACAAGCAATCATCATCAGGTGTGAAAACCACAACAAGAAATTTTGAAAAAAAGTGGCGTTTTTTAACGTTAGCACCACGGATAGCGATTTGACAGTTTGTTCAGATGGACGAGTAGGACCAACACCTCGGCCGTGGCAGATCACTGTTATAATTCAGTAGGTTCACATGACATTGACTTCTCCAAAACAGAGGTTCTTTGCAAGCCATCTGGCTACCATGAGAGATTCGTTCATGAGGCTATCCACATATACAAACACAGAGACAATTTCAACCGAGAAGATTAATTCTGGCTTAGCAATCATTGGAAGGATTTGATAAATCATTTCGGGTCTTAATTGGTTGATCACGCTTAAGGTGGCTTTCAGACCGCATCCATTATTTTTCGTCTCCCCCCTCCTCTTTTCTGAACATAGATGGACTCGTCCATCTGAACAAACTGTGAAATCGCTATCTGTGGTGCTAACGTAAAAAAACGCCACTTTTTTTCAAATTTTCTTGTTGTGGTTTTCACACCTGATGATGATTGCTTGTGCTACAGTCGAAACGTCGTGAGAATTTTATTGTTTTATGTTTTTTTTATTTTATTGTTTCCCTTCTACGTGACTTTACCGAAAGAACCAAGAATGAGAATGTACGTTTTAAGTAAAAAAATGAACATTGCGGCAAGCACTCGCACTGGAACTGCTGTGGATAGTATTTTGTCTTTTTTTGTTTAAATACCGTGGTCAACTTTCCAACATCTTCTTTGGCTCATGGTCTCGTTTGAATTCGATTCCATATTCCCTCAATCGAGGACACCACAATTAGAACGGTTTAATTATCTTGCCTTTGGTCGTTGTCACGCTGCACTTCTGAATACGTTTTTTATTTTATTTTATAAAGCACAATATTGACGATAATGAAAACTTCATGGGACCTTTTTTGGCAGCATCAATGTATCAAAAATAAGAAGAGGTGTTACCCTTTCTGGAAATAAAACAGGTGTTAAGTTGTTCAAACACCAAATAAACCCTTTTAGCAAATAATCAAGTTCGCACTAACCACACACTTCCTTTCGTTTTGTTTTTCCACAGATTTGTGACTTATTTTACTTGACTGGATGGCAAGCAAATTGACGGTAGCATGATTTGAATCTGTAGAGGCAATGTACGGATATTTCAAAATAAAAAAAGGTTTAGGAATAGGTTTTACCCTTTTAACTGGCACAAAAACTGACACCTTTATTCAAGGCATCATGTTTGCAATGACCACAACACAAGCAGTCAAAATGCAAACAAAAAAGACAACTCTGATAATAATATGCACTGTCCTTGAATTTGATTGGTCCACACCCGAGACAGCTTTTCTTAGAGCCTAGTCTCCATTGGTGTTGGACCAGAAGACGCCAAAAGGCGTACAACTCAAAAACAGCGCACTATCAGAGTATTGAGGGCTCGGGGTGAGCATTAACATTATGAGACCTCCTTTGCCAGAAACAAGATATATATAAAAAAAGGTTGTTTGTGGCCCCTGGCCCAAATTTCACTACAGTGTAAAATCCATTTAATGTAACAATTGTGGCTTCCAGTCAAATATGTTCTCAGTGCACGACTGGCATGCATAGTCTCCTGGGCTAAGGCTGGGTGCACCATTCCATAAACCGGGGCTGCCTGCTGTTCGACATCATTGCGCTCATTATCCTTTGGTTTCCATGCCACGAAAAAAATGTGCTCACGAAAATTGCAATAATTACCGCACCATAATCAGCATTATTAACGGGCCAAATGTCATTTGGTTAATGCGCAGGCACAGTGCAGCTGACAACCATCATGGGTGGAATTGCGACAGTGTGCGCCTCATTGGATATTCCCTCTAGCCGTTTTGAAACCGCCATGCCAGCGGGCCTGAGATGCTTTCGCTACCCGTAAGAAGACGCACAATCTTCTAGATCGGAGGCCCTCTTTTCTAGATCGGAAGCCCTCTCTGAGGCGCCAGGAATGGGCATAGCCTCGCTCTTAGCCGCAGATGACAATGTCAGCCAAAACAATGGGCATTCAGAATTCTTGGCTAGCCATGGAACAAAGATGGTCACTGCATCGCGCGCTTTCAGACGCGCATCTGCGGCCGTCTGGAACGCTCTTCCTTCCTATATTAGGAAGCCACTGGAGCTATGCACTTTTAAATCTAGATTGAAAACTCATTTTTTTAGAACTGCTTTTGTTTTTAGTTTGTTGTCCTTCCCTGCATCTCCAATTAGCACGGTTGGCGACGAACGGTGCAAAAGAAGTTCAGCATACATGCATACAGATGATCCAAAATGAGCCGAACCTCGTTTTATTCCAGAAGACAATCAGGGCTGAGTCTGCACAGTTCTTGTATGGGCGACCATCACGCGTAAATAAATAGGGCTCATGTTGTCAGCAGAGGGCAGCGCAGAGGGCAGTGCCCGTCGTGGGGAAGTATGGTCAAAAAAACCCCTTGACCCGCATGGTGTGGTGAGGACCTCGTCCAGCAGGGGATTGACAAAAGGGGCCGTACATGAACGGTGATGAAGAGGATGACGGAGCAGTGGGTTTGAAAACCCAGCTGCTGGTTGTTCACACAGGGCTGTGTGTTGGCCAGCGGTAGCACCAGTTCTCAGTGCCAATTTTCTCACTCGTTATTTTCCGGAATGCTGCTGGGGTTTGGCTAGGAATTGTGTTTTTTTGGCGTAAGGCACCACCACTCGAGGAAAAGCAAGACCCATCCATCATAATCATCATAAATCATTGTACCCGACATTCCTGTAACCCTACAAGGACAAAACATTTATCACGAGGACAAAATAAGGCGAGATCACAGTGGCTTGCTGTCATCATTCCCGGAACAGCATTCCGGGCTGTTGCAGCTGAATAAAGGGCTGCTGCTACTGGTGGTGGTGGTGCTTCACCTGGCTCCAAGGGGAAGCAGTCAGGCCCTGAGCTGTGGCCCGGTTTGCACACTGCCCCTGTGCTGTACGTCGTCTGCATCTGCAGAATGACCCGGTTCAGCTGCACGACAAACGGCGACGAGAGCGGTGAGAATGTATTGTGTTTGTTTGTTATCGAGACGCCCTCCACTCCGGGGCATCTCTGAGCGCTTGACACGCTGACTAAGTGGCTTGCCTGACATCTCAACACATTCGAAAGGGCATGCCCGCTTGACAGCCGTCCCTGTTTGACGTTAAGGCGACGCAGCACCTGGCCCGCAAGCGGGGCATTCGTGTGCCAGTAGGGGGCGATTATTGCTCAGTGCAATCTCAATTGAGTAGAAATCCACATTCGTTGCCGTTGGACCACATTTTTAAAATTTTGCGGAATATTTTCACAAATTTGCGAATAAACAGATTCTCGTCGCCGGACGATTTCACTCATGCACGGTGAATTAAACAATAATTTAACCTTATCTTAACGTCATTTATATACCACCTGAACCCCAGGCGCTTTCCAGAGAATTAAGAACGGTACATATGAATGTAATGGTGAAGATGAGGTGAATAAAATAGATTAGATGAAGCAATGGGGCAAATCTGTGCTGCGTGAATTCGGTGAAAGCCAAAATTGATGACAGTAAATTATGATGAATGGATTGAAAAAAGGGACAATGAGTGATTGCCATATCTTGCGAATATGCCGAAGGAACAACGCCAGCGGTGGTTACGAGGGGGTTTGGGGGGGGGTGCGGCCTAGGGACACACAGGAGCAGCATGCAGCGTGGAGACACACGGTGACACGCGGCCACTCGGGTGCTGTGCAGAGTGACCTCCTCTCTGGCCGCGGGGTGGAGGTTGGCGCTGCCCATGATCCTCATCTCCCTGAGTAAGCGCCTGAGGTCATCGGGGAAGCCGTCCCTGATGTCGTCGTACAGGTACTTGGTCTTCTCGCCCCAAGCTTCGGTGAACTCCTGCATCTTCAGCCTGGCCTCCACCTGGTGGCGATCGATCATTTTAATGGGCGGCGCTTCCCGCGAGAGAAGCCCCAAGTTATACGGACGTAAATCTCTCCAAGCCGTGCAGACGCAGATCACCCGCCCCTGACGTATGGTTACACAAACGATCCAGACCGATGTCACCTGAGCGATGATTGAACATCGCACGCTAATTATGCGTCGTGCGCAAATTTGACGCGTCGTTTTAAATTCGGACATTAATCATCTTCAATGGTGCCGTTTGTTGGTGCCCGCTTGTAGCGTTGGGTCTCTGGGACTGTCACCAGCAAGGGTAATTCGGTGCTCATTGGAATTGAAACATTGTTGTGTGTCTCGTCCAGCGATGTGCCCTGCAGGGCGCATCCCTCCTTGGTTGACGAAAGAGACTGGTGATGGAATGTCAGCCAAAGGAGGGAATGCGCCCAAGCGGACTACCGCCCTGCCCCCACACCTCCGATTAGCATGGTTGGCCACGTACGTTGCGATAGAAGTTCAACGTACGTAAACACACCGTGTATGTTGAGCAATCTCAGTTTACATGCAGGGTACGGATTGTGACAGAGTAGAGCCGAAAGGCATTCTTACGATGTGGGGAGGCCGTCATCCAACTGTGGAATGATTATGGCTGACGATGATGATGATGACACACAAGGCAGGCCACATCACATTCTCCATTCATATATTATAAGGAACGTGACCTATAATATACATTGAACGCTAATTGAATATTGTATATTATTTACGTCATTGCACGTTGTACCATCAATGCACGCCTAATTGTACATTGTTTGTCCGTTGCAAGTTAATGAGAAACATAAGCGCCAAGTTTGACGTGGGTCATCATTTTTAAAATATGCTTAACTCTTCGCTTTAATGCAGAACGCACGATAACTTGTTATTTGTACACTTCATTTACTATACAAGGGACTCAAGGAACTCGGGGGAGACGAGGGGATCCGGGGAAGACGAGGAACTCAGGGACACGGAGACTCAGAATCTGAATATTTATTTATACTGGAGGAATCCGATGAGCTATAAAGGTCTTTTTTTGCAGATGTCCAGTAGCGACGGATCAGAAAGTTACAACAACAAACAATACAATAAACGATCAGAATGCAAAGTATAGAAAAGTTAAGAAATCACAAAGATATATGTTTTACCAGGTGAACCCCACTGAGCTACAGTGAGGGAAAAAAGTATTTGATCCCTTGCTGATTTTGTACGTTTGCCCACTGACAAATGATCAGTCTATAATTTTAATGGTAGGTTTATTTGAACAGTGAGTGACAGGATAACAACAAAATCCAGAAAAATGCATGTCAAAAATTTTATAAATTGATTTGCATTTTAATGAGGGAAATAAGTATTTGACCCCCTCTCAAACGATTTCTGGCTCCCAGGTGTCTTTTATACAGGTAACGAGCTGAGATTAGGAGTACAATCTTAAAAGGAGTGCTCCTAATCTCAGCTTGTTGCCTGTATAAGACACCTGTCCACAGAAGCAATCAATCAGATACCAAACTCTCCACCATGGTCAAGACCAAAGAGCTCTCCAAGGATGTCAGGGACAAAATTGTAGACCTACACAAGGCTGGAATGGGCTACAAGACCATTGCCAAGCAGCTTGGTGAGAAGGTGACAACAGTTGGTGCGATTATTCGCAAATGGATGAAACACAAAAGAACTGTCAATCTCCCTCGGCCTGGGGCTCCATGCAAGATCTCACTTCGTGGAGTTGCAATGCTTCCAGCGGCAGAATTAGTAGGCATTTTAGTCAATGCCGCGCTAGGCTTTGCTCAAGCGACGAAACGCCGCCCAAGGGGTAAACGGTCGGGGGCTCTAGTACGGCTACGCAGACGCGGGATCCGAACAGTGCTTCCGAGCTTTTTCCTCTCCAACGTACGTTCACTGTGCAACAAAATGGATGAACTTCAGCTACTGATGGTAAAAAACAAAGACTTTCTTTCAGCTTCTGCATTGTGCTTCACGGAAACATGGCTGTGTGATTTGATTCCGGACACTTCGCTACAACTAGCAGGATTCCATCTTGTAAGATCGGATCGTGACATAGCACTCTCCGGCAAGACGAAAGGCGGTGGTATTTGTTTTTACATTAACAGTGGCTGGTGTGTAGATGTCACAGTGATTCTGCAACATTGTTCTCCACTCCTTGAATCAATTTTTATAACCTGTAAACCGTTTTACTCGCCTCGTGAGTTCGCGTCGCTCATTTTGGTCGGAGTTTATTTGCCGCCTTGTCCTCAGGTTAAAGAGGCCCAACGCATGCTCGCCGATCAGATTCTGAGTGTGGAGCGAGCAAATCCAGATTCGTTGGTTATCGTACTTGGCGACTTTAACAAAGGTAATCTCAGCCACGAACTCCCCAAATACATACAATTCATTAAATGCCCAACCAGAGAAGGGAACACTCTGGATCACTGTTACACTACAGTCAGTAGAGCCTACCACGCCGTCCCCCGAGCAGCACTAGGACACTCTGACCATGCCATGGTCCACCTGATTCCTGCATACAGGCAGAAACTAAAACTCTGTAAACCTGCTGTGAGGACATCTAAACAGTGGACCAGTGAGGCTGTGGAAGATTTGCGGGCGTGCTTAGACTGTACTGACTGGGATATGTTCACGACTGCTACCAATAGTCTGGATGAACTCACAGAGGCTGTGACGTCCTACATCAGCTTCTGTGAGGACTGCTGTATCCCAACACGTACCAGGGTGAACTTTAACAACAATAAGCCCTGGTTCTCAGCAAAGCTCAGAAGGTTGAGGTTGGAGAAGGAGGAAGCGTTTAGGAGTGGAGATAGAGACAGATTCAAGGAGTCGAAGAACAGGTTTAGCAAAGCGGTGAGAGAGGCTAAACGACTGTACTCAGAGAGACTAAAACACCAGTTCTCTACAAACGACGCTGCTTCTGTCTGGAGAGGGCTCAGGCAGATCACCAACTACAAACCCAGAGCCCACCACACCACTAACGACTCCCGCCTAGCCAACGACCTGAACGAGTTCTACTGTAGATTTGAAAGACAATTGGACTGTCCTGAACCACCCCTTCCAACCCAAGAGGCCCCATCCCCCACCAATACTACAGAGACGACTATCTCCTTTCAGGAGGGAGAAGTTAATAGACTTTTCAAGAGGCAGAATCCACGCAAAGCAGCCGGGCCGGACTCTGTCTCTCCAGCCACCCTCAGGCACTGTGCTGACCAGCTGTCTCCGGTGTTCACCAACATCTTTAACACCTCCCTGGAGACATGCCATGTACCAGCCTGTCTCAAGTCCTCCACCATCATCCCTGTGCCCAAAAAGCTAAGGCCAACAGGACTAAATGATTACAGACCGGTCGCCCTTACATCTGTGGTAATGAAGTCTTTTGAGCGCCTGGTCCTGGCACACCTCAAAGCCATCACAGACCCTCTCCTGGACCCCCTTCAGTTTGCCTACAGAGCCAACAGGTCTGTGGACGATGCAGTTAACATGGCCCTCCACTTCACCCTACAGCATCTGGACGCCCCAGCATCCTACGCCAGGATCCTGTTTGTGGACTTCAGCTCTGCCTTCAACACCATCATCCCTGCCCTGCTTCAGGACAAGCTCTTCCAGCTGAACGTGCCATACACCACCTGTAAATGGATCACAGACTTCCTGTCTGACAGGAAGCAGTGCGTTAAGCTGGGAACACAAGTCTCTGGCTCCAGGTCCATCAGCACCGGAACTCCTCAGGGCTGCGTCCTTTCCCCTCTGCTCTTCTCCCTGTATACCAACAGCTGCACCTCCAATCATCTGTCCGTCAAACTATTGAAGTTTGCGGATGACACCACCCTCATTGGGCTGATCTCTGGTGGGGATGAGTCTGACTATAGGTGGGAAGCTGACAATCTGGTGACCTGGTGTAGCCAGAACAACTTAGAGCTAAATGCTCTAAAGACAGTTGAGATGGTTGTGGACTTCAGGAAGAATACAGCACCACTCACCCCCATCACCCTGTTAGACTCCCCAGTAAAAATTGTAGAGTCCTTCCGCTTCCTGGGCACTATTCTCTCCCGGGACCTCAAGTGGGAATTGAACATCAGCTCCCTCACCAAGAAAGCTCAACAGAGGATGTACTTTCTACGGCAGCTGAAGAAATTCAACCTGCCAAAGACAATGATGGTGCAATTCTATACAGCGATCATTGAATCCATCCTCACCTCCTCCATAACCGTCTGGTACGCTGCTGCCACTGCCAAGGACAAGAGCAGACTGCAGCGTATCATCCACACTGCTGAGAAGGTGATTGCCTGCAATCTACCAACCCTCGAGGACCTGCACACGACAAGGTCCATGAGGCGAGCGAGGAAGATTATGGCCGATTTCTCCCACCCTGGACACTCTCTGTTTCAGCTACTCCCCTCCGGCAGAAGGCTTCGGTCCATCAGGACCAAAACCTCACGTCATAAAAACAGTTTCTTCCCATCTGCTGCTGGCCTGTTAAACAAGGCCAAGGGCTAACACTGTTTTTAACATTTGATCTACATAACGACACCTTGCCGATATTAACTATGTTACCCTATTTGTATTTTTTATTTTTAAATTATATCTTAAAGCTATTTTATATTCGATATGTATTTAATTTTATATACTTCAGCCCCTTGGTGTTAGACTTTTAACCCTTATTATAGTAAGACTTGTTTAAAACTTATTTAAGATTTTAGATTCCTATATGTTGAATGTATGCACCATCCTGCCAAAGTAAATTCCGTGTCGGTGTGAACTTACATGGCGAATAAAACCCTTTCTGATTCTGATTCTGATCATGAGAACGGTGAGGAATCAGCCCAGAACTACACGGGAGGATCTTGTCAATGATATCAAGGCAGCTGGGACAATAGTCACCAAGAAAACAATTGGTAACACACTACGCCGTGAAGGATTGAAATCCTGCAGCGCCCGCAAGGTCCCCCTGCTCAAGAAAGCACATATACATGCCCGTCTGAAGTTTGCCAATGAACATCTGAATGATTCAGAAAACAACTGGGTGAAAGTGTTGTGGTCAGATGAGACCAAAATGGAGCTCTTTGGCATCAACTCAACTCGCCGTGTTTGGAGGATGAGGAATGCTGCCTATGACCCCAAGAACACCATCCCCACCGTCAAACATGGAGGTGGAAACATTATGCTTTGGGGGTGTTTTTCTGCTAAGGGGACAGGACAAGTTCACCGCATAAAAGGGACGATGGACGGGGCCATGTACCGTCAAATCTTGGGTGAGAACCTCCTTCCCTCAGCCAGGGCATTGAAAATGGGTCGTGGATGGGTATTCCAGCATGACAATGACCCAAACACACAGCCAAGGCAACAAAGGAGTGGCTCAAGAAGAAGCACATTAAGGTCCTGGAGTGTCCTAGCCAGTCTCCAGACCTTAATCCCATAGATAATCTGTGGACGGAGCTGAAGGTTCGAGTTGCCAAACGTCAGCCTCGAAACCTTAATGACTTGGAGAAGATCTGCAAAGAGGAGTGGGACAAAATCCCTCCTGAGATGTGTGCAAACCTGGTGGCCAACTACAAGAAACGTCTGAGCTCTGTGATTGCCAACAAGGGTTTTGCCACCAAATACTGAGTCATGTTTTGCAGAGGGCTCAAATACTTATTTCCCTCATTAAAATGCAAATCAACTTATAATATTTTTGACATGCGTTTTTCTGGATTTATTTTTGTTATTCGGTCTCTCACTGTCCAAATAAACCTACCATTAAAATTATAGACTGATAATTCCTTTGTCAGTGGGCAAACGTACAAAATCAGCAGGGGATCAAATACTTTTTTCCCTCACTGTATTAGCTTATTTTTCAGAAGCGACCAGGCCACAAATGATATCTCAACGAAGTGACGAATATCATGTGAGACATTTTAAAGCAGCTCTAAACGTATTCTTGGGTCTTTCGGCAAAGTCACGTAGATAGGTTCAAATAAAATGATAAAAAATAACAGAAAACTACGACGTTTCGATCGCAACGCAAGCGGTCGTTTTTTTTCCTGAAGACGACCGCTTGCGTTGCGATGGAAACGTCGTAGTTTCCTATTATTTTGTATTACTGCAGTCACGAAAGCTTTAAGCTCTAAACGCATGACTCAGAGACCCAAGGAGACGCAGGGCCCATGGACCAGAGGCAAACGTGGAGACGCGACAGAGAGCGAGAGGCCAGGGACGTGCAGGGGAGATCGTGCAGGAGAGTCGCGGACGAAGCGGTACCAGTCGCTCCAGGTTGACGGCGGTCATGTTGGTGCTGTGACCCCAGGCGGCAAGGACTCCTCGCTCCAGCACCAGCTCGGCCGCCGCGCTGTGCGCCTCCACGAAGCTCCTCGCCCCGCTCTCGTTCCGGCCAAACTCCTCGTCGGGCAGAGGCAGCTGCTGGGCTCGGCTCAGCTGCACGAGCTCCTCGACCACCGCTATCACTGCCATCACCACCACCACCACCATCGGCACCTTCGCCATAGCCAGCGGCCCGCTGCGCTTGGGAGGGTCGCCGTGGATGAGGTGACCACGGGGAGCCACGGGACACTGGGCCACCTCTTCTGCCCCGAGTTCCTGGGTTGACCGGAACGCTCCCTGTCCCGGTGATGCCTCACCGAGCGGTGCCCTTCAGTGGTTAATGATCAATTAGCGCCGCGCCTCTTTGTGAGCGGGGCTCCCGTGATGGACGGGGCGAGCAGGTGCCGTGGGACGCGCCGAGCTATTCTGGGTCCCGTGCACAGGCGGAGAGGAGCAAGCGGAGGAGGAGAACGAGGAGGGAGACTTGGTGCAGAAGGGGCCTGTGGAGCCGCGCCCCCAATGGAAAGGGGATGGGCACGGCCGCGGTGGACGCGGCGCGTGATGGCAACCGTGAGACGGTGGAGGTGACGGTACCGATGCTGGTGATGGCGGTGAAGGCGATGATGATCATCATCATCATAATTGGTGGTGCCGATGATCATGGCGATGGTGGTTGTGATCGTGATAGTCCTGGTGGTGGTGGTGATAGAGGGCGGTGGCGCAGTTATTAACACGCTGCGTTACGAACCCGGCGACCCGAGTTTGATTCCCGCTCACGGCCAGCACCAGTGACGACTATCTGAACCGGTCTTGGGCCTCCCCTAGGTCTACTCAGCCTAAAATTAGTACCTAGTACGGCGTGTAAACATCACCACTGGGGAGACAAAGGCGGTCGGGCGTGGTGTTGGCCACCCACCCCGCTCGTGTTGCGTGCCGGCCTTCATAGGTGCTCGCTATCAGCACTTGCCCCAACAGCCTGTGAAGGCTACACGGGTGAACTTTGCCTTTGGTGGTGATGGTGCCGGTCATCACGACGGTGATGTTGAACGACGGTCTTACTTTCTCTCCCGTATCCTCTGCCCGTGTGTGGAGGAGAGACCCACACGCGGTAGCGTTGACCAAGAAGAGAGAAGACGCTCACATCTCGGGCGCGTTGGCGTCGGTAGTCCAGTCGCGTTTCTCGTCACCCGACGACGCTCTTGTCTACGACAGGCATATTAAAGCGAGAAGAGCAATCCTTTGCCTGTAACATCTGGCACTTCACCAGTACGAGTTAAGCAAAGCCTGAATATGCTGATGAGGCACTGTGTCTCGCCACCGATTCCAGAGTTTGCTTGTACTGACTGAACCAATCAATGCCTGCTGACATGATTCACTCCCAGAAGGAGCGATGGGTTGCGTAAGGAATACTTTTATTGACGTCTTTTTTTTTACATGGGTTCGTTCGTTTTTCTTGGCACTCATTCCCATTCGCAAGGCCCTTTCCACACGCGTCGTGATTCCGCTCCGGGTATCCCAGGGTGCCACCGAGGACGTTCCGGTCCTGGGGTTTCACGCTGCTCGGCTGTGCTTGCATTTCACACGAGAGGACACAGTCATATGGCGGGGGGGGGGGGGGGGGGGGTCCTGTTTAAAACAATTTTGTTGTTGTAGCAAATAGGACACTTGAACGCACATTTACATCTGTTGCCAGTGTATCGTGACAATGTCTATCACACCTGCGATTGGCGCAAACGTGTGGTTCAAAAAGCTGTTATTCGAGACATCTCGATCATGCTCATTCTCAAAACTCTGTCGATGCCGTCTCGCGTATACGTTAAGTTATAATGGGCGTTGTTTACATGGATATTCTGTTCGGTATTTTTGGCATTTGAAGAGGTATTTGCTCACGGATATTTCGGCAATGCGTGCGACACCCAAAATATCCACGCGTTCGTGGAAGTGGCGGTTTTATTATAGCGCTGACACCGCGGGTGAATTGTCACTCAGCCTATACCCCACAGCATGACCGTGACCCCACAGCCAGACCGTGACCCCACAGCCAGACCGTGACCCCACAGCATGACCGTGACCCCACAGCCAGACCGTGACCCCACAGCATGACCGTGACCCCACAGCCAGACCGTGACCCCACAGCCAGACCGTGACCCCACAGCCAGACCGTGACCCCACAGCATGACCGTGACCCCACAGCCAGACCGTGACCCCACAGCCAGACCGTGACCCCACAGCCAGACCGTGACCCCACAGCCAGACCGTGACCCCACAGCATGACCGTGACCCCACAGCCAGACCGTGACCCCACAGCATGACCGTGACCTCACAACCAGACCATGACCCCACAGCCAGACCGTGACTCCACAGCCAGACCGTGACCTCACAGCCAGACCGTGACCCCACAGCCAGACCGTGACCCCACAGCATGACCGTGACCCCACAGCCAGACCGTGACCCCACAGCCAGACCGTGACCTTACAGCCAGACCGTGACCCCACAGCCAGACCGTGACCCCAGAGCCAGACCGTGACCCCACAGCATGACCGTGACCTTACAGCCAGACCGTGACCCCAAAGTCAGATCGTGACCCCACAGCCAGACCGTGACACCACAGGCAGACCGTGACCCCACAGCTCGACTGTAACCCGCACTGGGGCTGTCTCTGCCACTCTCTGCAATCCACAATTTGACTCAATAATCTAACGTATGTATGTTGAACGTCTTTCGCACAATATGTTGCAAATTGTGCTAATCGGAGGTGCGGTGGCAGGACAACAAACTAAACATTAAAACATATGTTCTACAGAAATGAGTTGTCAATCTGGATTTAAGAGTGCATAGCTCCAGTGGTTTCCTAATAACGGAAAGAAGAGCGTTCCAGACGGGCCGCAGAAGCACATCTGAAAGCGCGCAATGTAGTCACCGTCTTTGCTAAATGGTTAGCCAAAAGCCGCTGCTAGGATGACCACCGGAGTTCGCGTGGTGGTTCATGCTCCTTGACGAGATCAGCGAGGTATTGTGCTTCATACTCTTTGGTTCTTTCGGTAAAGTCACGTAGGTATAAAATTAAATCAATCACGACGTTTCGGGCGCAACACAAGCGTCCGTCATCAGGTGGGAAAGCATGGTCTGCTGCTGAGGCAGACTGTTTTAAAAGGTTCGAAATGGATGTAGCCCAAGGGTCATAAAGAAGTGGCCGGAGCGAGTGATGTTAATGTGAGAAATGAGCATTTCAAACCTTTAAAACAGTCTGCCTCAGCAGCAGACCACGCTTTCCCACCTGATGACGGACGCTTGTGTTGCGCCCGAAACGTCGTGATTTATTTTATTTTATACCTACGTGACTTTACCGAAAGAACCAAAGAATATGGATTCCTGCAATCACGAAAGCTTCAAATCACGTATTGTGGTTCCTTTGTGGCAAGCACTTTGTGTGCAAGGAGCGTGACCTCATAATACAGGGTGCTTCAAAACAATGTTAACACTTCCGAGAATTTGCAACAATACCACGTGAAATGATGTGCTGCCTCCAGGCTCTGGAGGCTACCTGGATAAAATTCCAGGCACGCGTTGACAATGATGGTGAGCACGTGGAGACTCTTTGACTTTTAGAAGCTATTAACATACATTTGTTATCACGTTACAGTGTATTATCCGTTCACTAGCCATTAAAAACGACAGTCCCATGTAAGTGTTAAAAAAAATTTTAAGCACCCTGTAAATTCATAGGAATAGGTTTTACCCTTTTAACTGGCACAAAAACTGACACCTTTATTCAAGGCATCATGTTTGCAATAACCACAACACAAGCAGTCAAAATGCAAACAAAAAAGACAACGCTGATAATATGCACTGTCCTTGAATTTGATTGGTCCACACCCGAGACAGCTTTTCTTAGAGCCTAGTCTCCATTGGTGTTGGACCAGAAGACGCCAAAAGGCGTCTTCTGGTCCGTACGCCTTTTGGCGTCTTCTGGTCCAACACCAATGGAGACTTGGCTCTAAGAAAAGCTGTCTCGGGTGTGGACCAATCAAATTCAAGGACAGTGCATATTATCAGAGTTGTCTTTTTTGTTTGCATTTTGACTGCTTGTGTTGTGGTCATTGCAAACATGATGCCTTGAATAAAGGTGTCAGTTTTTGTGCCAGTTAAAAGGGTAAAACCTATTCCTATATCTTGTTTCTGGCAAAGGAGGTCTCAAAACCCTGTAAATTCGTTCGGCAACCGGTAGCCAATGCAGGTCAGCGAGCGTTGGGACTGATATTGCCGGATCTTGCAGTGCCCGTCACGACACGTGCCAGAGGATTTTGTACACGCTGCAGCTTGGTAATGTTTTTGGCAGACATCCCATAGAGTAGTGAGTTGCAATAACCGTTACCTTGTCGAAAATATGCTACACGTCACCGTGTTGGCTATGTACGCCTGTCATAGCAGGCACTAAACATCGATCACACACGTATGTTTTCATCATTAAGCTCCGTTTTCCAAGAGCACTGCAATCTGCTCTCACCCATATCTTGAATTCATGATGATCCCAGTCCATCTCCCACCAATGTCCTGGGTTGTTTTCCAGTTGTAACCCTCTGACAGATGATGCCTATTGCCTAGCGAACATGCTATGCATGACAAGGTCATGGCAATTACATCTTTGTTCACATTTATCGAGGTTCACTTTACAGCATCATTAAATATTAACCATTTTTAAATATGAACGTTCTTTGTGAAAGATTTGCTGATAAGTCATTATATCAATGGAAATTAACAGCAAAGCATAAATTATTGTACTGATATGCAATGTCGAATTTCCCCTTCTTCACTTCGTTTTCCTTTAAGACCACTTATGTGTTGAGCGTGATTGCTGCAACACAGAACGACCATTGCTTCAGTAAACTCTTGAACATCGAGTTAAGAAAAGTATTCTCTCCAGTAACTTTTAATTTTCATTTGAGCAGCACCGAACACATTTCTAGTAAGTACATCCTGGTTTGCTCTGTTCTGTTCCAGTCTGTATAATTAGCAACACAATATCAGTTCAACTGCAAGGCATTAGTTGCTAACATGATATGAGTGTGCGGAGTACGCTCTCCTCTGCAGGAAACATTTACAGTGACATGAACATTAAACCCATGTAGGTGCGATGAACAAGCCAATATTTTCTTAGTGTTCTGGGCAAAGCAAACTCATTAATGCTTATTAAAATTTCATATTTGGCAGCTAATTTTTGCCTAAAAACTACAGTTCTGGGTATTTTTTTACGTGAAAACACCGGAGGTCGAATCGACAGACGTAGCCTTTAAAACACAACCATTCAACAACGACACGTCCCATTTATTTTAAAAGTCCGCATACATACAGGTTACAAACGCGCCGTGCGCCCAGCATGGCACTACTATTAAAGCTACAGTTCGAATGCACTTCATCACACGGGATGACATCAAAGGGCCGGTTGAATATGGTGCATCCAACACCAGAAACCTAGGGGGCAGCCAATGCCTCTCCCATGCCCAGGGACCCTTGCATTTGCATGACGAGGACACGTGTGGCATTGTTTAGCCGCTGTCACTCAAAACAGTCAAGACTGGCATAACAAACCAACGCATTATTATGGGCACAACTGGATTAAAATGTCAGTTTGGCCACAGCCCTTATCAAACCCCTTTTTTTTTAATCGTGCGGTTAGGAGTATTTCGCTGCTCTAAATTTCCAAAATGGTCAGCCACTTCGTTGAGCTTATGTGTGGCCTCGTCGTTTCTGAAAAAGAGCCGTGTCGCTCAGGTGGGCCTTAACCTGCTTAAATTAAAAAAAATCGTTCAATACTAGATTTAAAGCTTTCGTGACTGCTAGGATCCATACTCTTTGGTTCTATTGGGTAAAGTCACGTAGGTGAAAATAAAATAACAAAAAATCACGACGTTTCGGCCACAACACAAGCGGCCTTCATCAGGTGAAGGGACGAGACTGACAGTCTCGTCCCTTCACCTGACTGACTGTCTCGTCCCTTCACCTGATGAAGGCCGCTTGTGTTGTGGCCGAAACGTCGTGATTTTTTGTTATTTTATTTTCACCTACGTGACTTTACCCAATAGAACCAAAGAGTAATCGTTCAATAGTTTAGTTTAATGGTTTAAAAAGTTGTTTAAAAGCCGCAATGAAAATTACTCTTTCCTACATAATCATCACGGTAATGTCGGTCAAATCTGCTATTTGGGGAACTCCTACTGGCAGATTAACACGTTGCTAATCAATTTGACTCTAGCCTGGACCGGTGCAGCCAGAAGAATTGAACTCTGTGCCTCTGTGCATTCACCGACATTTATGTACAGAGTTATGCTGGCAGCACGTGGCTTTAATGTGATAAACACACTCGCCATCACGAGTTGGGGGAGCAATTATGCATCTACAAGAGCAACTTACAGACTGTCTCATTAGCCGGCTTCGTTATATGACATTGCTCATACAGAGAATACAGTTTGTTTTTTGTATTACATCCAGTATTATACTTTCGTTTGAATACCTTAAATGGAAAACAACCAATTGCAATATTTGAACAGGAAGTGCGATATAAAAGTTTGTATTATAAATTGCATTTTCTAAGAGGGAAGCTTGACTACTTAAGCGATTGGGTTGGACAGGTATTAATGTACGTTCTTCGTTGAAAATACCACAGTGGTGATTTAAAAAAAAGAACACATTAATACTTGCAAAGGTTATTACAGTACAAAAACACACCTCACACCTCATGTGCAATGCAGATTACTCGTACCTCTTTTTCCACTGCACACCTGTGCCGTGCCAGGGCTGTGCTCAGTGAGCCCAGCGCGGCTCCAGAAGCAACAGGTACATTTTTTTCCTTTACCACATTATACGACCGGTGCTGCTGATGTTACAAGCTAGGTAAAAAAGAAAACGATTGCCTACACCCCTGGCTCTGCTTTGCACCCCCCCCCCACCCCCCCCCCCCCGAGCTCGAGCCAGATTCAGATGTCTTGCAAGGCCAGTTGGGCCGGCAAATATCCAGTGGGAAGCTACCCGTACCATGAGGGCCCCCCCCAGCCCCAAGCGCTGACATGGACCGGATGTGCCAGTTGAAAAGGGATTTCAGTTCGTGCAGGGCCGTGTGTGGATAGGAGGCTGCCGAGTCGGTGTGCAGATTGTTGTCGGCGCGCGGGGCTTTGCCAAGTGTGCAGGGTGTTGTGCGCCTCGATAAATCGTGCTCCACCAGAGCTCGGTAGCGCCAACGCTTGAACACAACTGCTGAGTAAAATCCACCCGTAAAGGTTTGTTTTATAGTGTCAAATTATGTACTCTGCATTAATCTTTTTACGGGAAATAATTATTTTCAAAATTATAAAAATGTTTTAAAAAACCCCCACTACACTGCATTATTTGGAATGTATTTTTGTAAACATTACACAGTTACGTGTAAACAAGCGTGAATATAAAAATCAAAGACTGCTAAAAAGGACATTATTGATTCAATCCAATGCTTGAAATATACACTTCAGAATCACCCTCCCCCCCCCCCATGTCACGTGATTATATCACACACGTCGTAAAAAAGTGGCCTCATCATTCTCGGGATGGAGCTAAGTAAATGTGAGTAATGGAATTTACAAAGCACTCCGGTTGCATTGCAAAGAAAAGTCTTTCGCCACGAATTGGAAGCCAAATGCAGAAGACGTCTCTCGCACGGAGTGGGGGAGGTTTTTCACCAATGTTGACGGGCAAAAGCTCGAACCCCCCCCCGCCCCCACCGAAGCGAGATGATGATGTGCCACTTCACTTCTTTACACCTTCGGCCTCCGAACTTGCAGGTTCCAGTTCCTGACCCGTTTCTAAAAAAAATAAGACATCAACCACGACCGCAGTGAGAAGCATTTTGCACGTAAACCCTGGCTTCACGCCAGCAATTGTACATCACCAAAATTACGAATGCAGTTTAACATAGTTTGACGTGCATACTTTGCATTGTTACCACGTACTTATACAAGAATAAATCAGAATGTGGTGGTTGCACTCGCAAAGAGATTATGATTGCAACACAGTTTACTCAGGTTTATCTCCATATACATTTCCTTCTAGGCTTAAGTCAAACGTGGGATTCTATAGCAAGGTTTGCCAGGGCTCTGTTGCCAACCCTTTCAGGGCAGGTGCCTCAGCGGTAGATCGAGCGGCTCGCAAATCATGCTGCAAGGTCATATCCTGGTTGAGGGTCTACTCAGCTCATCATCCATTTGGGGCCATTAAAATGAGCACTACACTTTGAAGGGAAGTCAACATTGGATGTCCTATGGATTTACTCGGCCACCACCATCGGAATTTCCACCACTGGCTCTGGGCTGTAAGCAGGAGATGAGCGCCGCCTGAATTCCCAATTGAGTGGGAAATTACTTTAGACTTTCTCTCTCTCTCTCTCCAGCATTGCCAGGGACTTTTTGCGCCACCCCTTCCATTACCGGGTTTTGAGGCGGCCGCCACCGCGCTCTGGTTGGAGTTTGTCTCTTCCTCGCTCTGCGGAAGGGAAGCGGCGGGCCCCTCTCCGTTCCCTCCGGGTGGGAGCGAACCCTCGCCTGAAGCCACCGCTTCTTTGGAAACGCCTGCAATCGCAACGCAACTCTCAACTAACTCAACCACAGTCGCTGTACACAAAAGCTGTCAACGCATTTGTTGTTGGTTGCTGCTACTGTTATCATCGCAATCAGCCACGATCAATCCACTGTCGGAATGAAGGTCTTCCGCAAGCCAATGCCATCTCTCACGTTGCCATCGTATAACAATCCAACTAGCTCACGCGTGCTCTCTCCATCGGCTGCCTCTCCATCATTAGTCTCAACCCGCCAGCAATCATTGATTCGAGCAACGTGTCCCCGGCCAAATTTCACTCGCATATAAACTCGCCAAAATAGTAAAACTCCGATCACCTGCTTTTCCGTCGGGCTCAGCCGTCAGTGCCACACCAAACCTCTCGGCCAGAGCCTGCAGCGTAATGATCTCCTTGGCCAGGCCTCCGGCTGGTCCTCCACCCAGCAATAGGGGCCTCAGGCTCTGCATGCACTGTATGTCCTGCCACAGCACACAGACAGAATAGACGCGCACTCCATTGCATACCCACGGCCATTCGACTAGGCCCATGCACAGAAAGATGGCTTGAGGGTAAGAAAGGGGTTTAAGTGATTAACCATGTTTCTTTATGAAGTCTGCTTAGAATGCGTGATACGCAAAGTGGAAACGAAACTATTTTTGTAATGCTCAATATCTTTTCATTTATTTTAAAGACTTGCTGGCACTATGCAACCTTCACCACACTTCCGCTAAATCAACGATTTTGTTTTCTCTTAAATTCCCTTTTAGTTTTTTACATCAACAAAAGATCGATCTACAGTGGTACCTCGGAGATCACTTTAATTCGTTCCAAAACCGTGTTCGAACACCGATTTGTTCGAACACCGAATCAATTTTCCCCATAAGAATGAATGGAAATAGCATTAATTGGTTCCCCACCCAAGGATGCTCCTATTATGGGCCATTTTTACACAAAGTTTACAATATTAAAAATACAGTACAGTACAAAAAAGCATACAAAAAACATGAAACACCGTTATAATTAATATAATAAATGAACATTGAACGTCACTTTACCTGTAGTAAGGAGAGTGGATGGCTCGAGTGGAAGGTGGTGAGGAAAAAGTTAACGGAACGATGTTTTTGGCGGGTCTGCACTGGGCGAGAGCTACGCGTGAACTGGGTCATTCGCCTTTGTCTCGGTCGCCATGGCTACGCGTCTCGGTCGCCATGGCTATGCGTCTCGGTTGCCCTGGTTACGCGTCTCGGTCGCCCTGGTTACGTGACTCGGCCCACGCAGCTTCTTTCAAGTTCTTCGACCTCCGAATTTGTTGTTCGATGTCCGGAGCAAAAAATGGTCGAAAATTTTGTTCGATCACCGAATTGTTCCGAGCCCTGGGGCGTTCCATCTCCGAGGTTCTACTGTATTTATAAATGTTATATTGTAAATAATTAATTAAACGTCATTCTTTCCCATTTAATATTAAAAGAAAGCAGACAGCCACTGTGGAATGACAACAGTTAACTAGCTAAAGCAACCGGCCGCTTTTCTGAAAACTTTGCCCAAGGCACTTTTACACGACGTGAGGTGGCACTTTCTTGACGACACATTGCACAGAGAATGTTCGCAACAGAAACGAGCGCGGCCTTGTGCCTTTGACAGTGAGCTATAAACCGCGTGTGCGCGTGGCTCCTGTGAAGGCCCGAACCTCCTGTGAAGGGGAGTATCCGTCCTCTTCCGCAGATACACACAGCTCCTGCACGCGCTCTCTCAACAGCTGCTGCTCCAGCTTAAGCAACCTTTCCCCTTCCTGGCACCCATCCTCTGAGTCATCGTCTGCCGCCACCGTGTCCCCATCTGGCCAGTCGCCCTTGGGGAACACGATCTCAAAGGACGTGTACTTTATCTGCGCAAAAAAAAAACGAAGTAGCGCTCTCAGTTTCATACGGATATAATTACAATTGAAACGTTACTCCAAAACAACAAAATGTGGTCATTTGAAATGTGGCAGCAGTTTACTTTCATGAGGAATGTATTTTGAAGATCCAAGAAAACTATAAAGTGGCTTGTTTGATGGCAAAAGTGAAAACAATGTTTCGTAACTGACTTCTACACAATGGCGCTGATTGTGTTCTTTTTTAAGAAAACAGAGGTTTCATATTTTTTCAGAAACCCTGGTATTCCTTATATTTAGAAATAATATAAACTTCTACCACAAACTATGTCAGAAACATTTCCAAATGTATATTTCATCACAAGGCAAGGTGACTTAAATATGAAAATGTTACCATGGGCTGAAAATCATCCAATGGTTTTCACGGTGCCAAAGTCTCTTTAAAAGTTGCTTTACAAAACCCAAAGCAGCAAAAACAACCCTGCGATTAAAGTCTGGGTGCCTTAGCCGTACACGACAGCTGCGGCTACCTGCTGTACGTTCCATGCCACCCATTTAGCATTCTCGAGATGATGCAGCTCCTGTAAGAGGGCCAGGATTCGGCCCACAAAGTCGATCATCTCCTCCTGGGGAATCCGCATATCCACCGAATGCATCACCTGGTTTCTTACATTTATTACCTATCGGGATGAATGACAACACACACACACACGCACAAACAAACTTTAGGACACTCATTCGGCACAATGTTTGTGTCAAAACAAGAGAACTGCTCCATCGATTCCTTAAAGCAGTGCTCTTCGCTTATTTTCCTAAGGGGGCCACTTTCGCCGATAAGACATCAGTGAGGGCCGCCACACATTTTAAACCATTGGGTTTGACAGCATGATGGGGCGTTTTCACATTTGTGTATTGTTGGGGGCTGCACGTCAGGGGCCACACCAAAGGCCAACAGGGCTCACCAGTGGCCCACGGGCCTTCCAATGAAGAGCACTGCCTTAAAGAGTACACAGACACACATGAACATAAACATATCCACCCAATGCATCACCTAGTTGCTTATATGTATTACCTACCAGGATGAATGACAACACACATACACAAACACAACTTGAGGACACCCAAAAAGCACGTGTGTTGTGTCAACACAGAGAACTGTTCCTTCTATTCCTTAACGAGTACACAGACACATGTGAACATCCATAATAGAGACTTTTGGGTTAGATAGCATATGTCGTTAAAACCCGCCACCATCCGACACAGCCAACTAGTAAGGGTTGTCATGTAAACAGAACGTGCCAATTCGTCGCTAGTACAGCCCACCGGTGTGTTGGAGAGCCAAGCCACAACATTTACAATCTGAGTACGACGTGTCGCCAGCAATTACAACTAGCTTCATCAGGCGACAGCCAGATTTGTGAACATGAACAGGTATAACCACGAGAGTAGACTCATGAGGGGCCTCACCGCAGACACGGTCATTGGAGTCACAAACTGGTGGAAATGCTTGCAGTTGTGCATGAGGTTGAGCAAGGCGGTGCAGTCACTGTGGTTTGCCCCTTGGTGCACGTCCTTCTGTCCCCGCGGCATGTACACCTTCACACGACGCACGAGACACAAACGAGCAACCTCGCATCGGCATGACCAACTTAGTCTAAACAAAATCTGTACACGGTTTTTTTTTTTTCACGTTGCTACACACTTTTCTGAAAAATCATCTCGATCGTCAATGCACAACAAGTTGAAACATATTTAGGCAGCACTGCATTATGCAAAATACCCGCAATACCACACACACTGCTCACACCGCCTGTGGCCGTGAGGTGTGCGGGGAGCAGGAGTGATAGCGCAGTAGTTAGAGCACTATGCGATGAACCCAGCCACCCGAGTTAAGACTCCCGGCAATGGCGACCCCAAAACAGTCCTTGGCGCCTCCTTCACCAACCAGCACTGACCAGCCGGGTGACGTAGAGTTAAACAACCACCATGACAAACATATGCCTTCATCCAGTAGTGGATTGACAACGGGCGGAAAGTTAGTGTATTGAAGGACAGGCTGACACAAGCCTCTGTGCAATATATTTCTCACCACATTTGACCTTTGTTGGCGTATTAAACACTTGCACATGGCAAAGGAACCAACATTTCCATATTTATTGACTTTCTGCGTGAATAAAGCACGAGGCCCGTACTCTTTTGTTCTCTCGGTAAAGTCACGTAGGTATAAAATAAAATAAATTATATCACGACGTTCCGGGCGCAACACAAGCGACCGTCATCAGGTGGGACAACCACAGCAAGAAACAATTGCTGAAGTGGGCAAAAAAGGGCTGATGTTGTGTGTTTGTTTTATCCGTGCGACTCACTCACTCACTCACTTTGGCCACTTCCCAGTGTCTCACTGCCCAGAGACTAGGTTTACTGTTGCCCCAGTAGACCATGCCTGTAGGGTTGGAGTGATACTGGAGGATTGCTGCCTTCCAGTCAGTACACACCGCACAGGCGTTTTCAAGCTGAAGGCAGAGAGAGCAACACAATTTACTCCTGAGCAAAGTTAACATTAAAATGTTTTACAGCGCAGTGGTTGAAATCAATTCCGAAGTGTGCATTTAAGGAATGGTGAAACGTATTTACGAAGATTTTTGCAAACTGTTAAAAAGTGCTTTGTTCTACAAATGTCAATTGGCTTAACAGCATTAACAGCATTCATCAGCTATGATCAATCCACTGCTGGATGAAAGCCTTTCCATGGTGACACCATCTCCCACGATCTTGTCATGCGAATCCACCCAACAGCCGCACACAAACCGATCGTCTGGGTGGATGGCTTCTCGCATTCCATTCCTTGGCTGCCACTCCATTATCCTTGTCCATCATCATCCCTTCTTAGGGACTTGGCCTGCCCCAAGCCCCGCTAACCTTTAACAGTACAGCAGCCGATGCTGTAAACTGCGTACGTTCTCTGATCCACGTGTTCCTCTTTTAAAGCATTAGTATTCAGCATTGCTTATGCGGTACAGTACATAAAATGCCAGTGTTAGTGAAAGCCACGTGCGCATGGAAATTTGAAAGCCAAGGAAACCAACTTCATAAAAGTTTACAGTTCAAGCTTCAAGGCGCGTCGCGCAGTAAGCTCCCTTGCTATTGTCTCGAGTGCCATGTCACGTTCACGATAAAGCCGGTGGCTGATGAAGCCGGCGGGACGACAACCTGAACAACCAAGTGGGCACTCCAACTCAGACCAGGAGTATTTTAATAAAAGTGTCTTGGTTTGAATTTCAATCGCATCAAGTGATGTAGGCGGGACACAGGATATGACACATCACGGCGGAAGGCTTAGTGCACTTTTAAATCGAGTTTGGAAACTCAATTTCTTTGAAACTGCTTGTTGTGTTTTTTTTTATTTAAAGCTTTCGTGACTGCAGTAATTCATATTCTTAGCTCTTTCGGTAAAGTCACGTTGAAGGGAAACAATAAAATAATAATATATAAAACAATAAAAATTCTCGCCGCAACTCCTATGAGCACAGTATCAACGACCACGGCTTTTAATCGCACCTCCGATGAGCACGGTTGGCTACGTACGGTGCGAAAGAAGTTCAACAGACAGTACCGTACATGTTGACACAATTGCCAACAATTCTGGGTCGTGATCAAAGTCACAAAAGTTAGTTTCCACTCAAACGGACGTGGGGGCGGGCGGGCAGGGGGGGGTATCTTCTGGTTAACCCCTAGAGGCCAAGTGGTATAAACTCCACATTTGTATGGCAAGGGCAAGTTAAGCCAACGCATCTGTAGGTCTCCCCACTGCCGATTTCCCCACACGGGTGGAGATGAAAGTCACTCCAGTACGGTGGACATCTGTACCAAACACACCGGGACAGGTCCCCTGTATTCCTACCAAGCGCCCACAATAAATACAAATTTTTGTTAAGCTATTTTTTTTATATTTCACCAGGTAATGCCCACTGAGCTACGTAGCTCTGTCTCAGAAGCGACCTGGCCAAAAATGATAGCTCAACCAAATTGCTTTATCACGAATTAAATTTATAGCAGCAGCCAAATAGTCTGAACGCGTGATGTTGATTTCTAAAATGTGGTGGGTGGTGGGTGGGTGGATGGGACCGGAGAAAAATCCACGCGACCACGGGGAGAGAAAAAGACACTGCAAACTCAAAATAAACAGCAGCAGGATGTCAGCATCTGCATCGAACCCACGACCTCCTGCACACCGGGCGATGTAGTTAACATCTCCTAGCCACCGCTGCGCCCAATACTTGACCCTCATGTGCCCCCCCCCCCCGGACCTTTTGCCTGGAGTCTCGCCACAACGTCCAAGCGAGGTGACCACACTTGTTGACCTGTGTTGAGGTTATCGCGTGTGAGGAGTAGGCTCGCCTACTCTAAACCACGGTGGGGAGGGAGGGGAGGAAGGTCCTCCACAACGCACCCTGTGTCTGCGGACGGGGCAGTCCGTGGCGCATCTCCTCCCGGGGCCCAGGCGCTGCGCCAGGCGGCGGTGGAAGCGTCGCGCCTCGGCCTCCGTGAAGGGGACGAGAGCGTCCCTCAGCAGGCCGAGGCAGTGACCGGCGCACAGCCAACGCTTGTAGCCGCTGTCCTGAAGGCGCCTGGTCATCTCCTCCATGGCTGCTGCTGTTGCTGTTGCGGCTGCTGCTGCTTGAAGGCTGGCTGGGTTTTTTTTTTGCGCGGGTTTCGCTGCCCCTGGTTTCGCTGGGATTCTCCTGCACCACCACCACCACGACCCCCCACCACTCTCTCCACTCACTCCGAGCGTCTGCCTCCTGCGTTCCCGATTCTCGGGCCCTCTGCTTCCTCGTTCTCCTTGCGTTCGGCGGTGGCTGAGTCTCTCTCTCTCGTCCACCAGAGGGCGACCACCGATTTAGTCGCCGATAGCGCCCCCCCACCTCCCCACCGCCGCCGCTAGAGGGCGCATCCTCCAATTGTTGCAGCTGGTGGTGGATGATGACCTTAAAATGAGTCATTTTTTGTTTTTTACTTTTTTAAAAACACGCTTTTATGAAATGTAGCGTACTAGTAATGGAATAACTCCACGACCCCAGGAAGTGGCCCCCAAGCTTGCCACAACGTAAGGAGACCGTGGCCAATTAGAGCCAAGCCGAAACATTACATAAAAACGAATGTTTAAAAATATTTATTTTATGATATAATATAGAATTGTTATCAGTATGTCATAAGTATATCAAGTTTGCAGTCGATACCATATTGGGAAGTGGGTTAAACTTGAGTTACAAGATTTGAGGATACGACAACAACGACAACAGACAGAGTGAGTTAATAGAAAGCGTGTAAAATATGATTATGAAACTCTTTTATGGTCTTGTTAAATGCCAACCTATGGACCACGTGGTAAACCACTGCAGTCGAGGCACGTTCAACGGAGGAGGAATACGCAGCATTACACGAACTCTCTCCTGAAGCCCACTCGTCGTGGCTAGAATAACTCCGGGACATTGTTGGCATTCATCTCGTGGACGTATTTGCTGCTGAGATCATGCGCAATCATGGAATGTACCGACCCTTGACATGCCACGCTGGGGTTGTTTGACCATACTTCACCACGCTGATCAGTGCCGGTTGGGTGAAGGCGTGCGGCAAAACTTTCCGGTTCAGATATCACTCGCCACTGATGTTGGCCGTGGACTGGAATCGCCACGTTCATGAACTAAACTAAAATATAACACAATAAACTTCTCACGACGTTTCGACTGCAACACAAGCAATCATCATCAGATGATTGCTTGTGTTGCAGTCGAAACGTGTGTTGCAGTCGAAACGTCGTGATGATGATTGCTTGTGTTGCAGTCGAAACGTCGTGAGAATTTTATTGTTTATATTTTTATTATTTTATTGTTTCCCTTCTACGTGACTTTACCGAAAGAACCAAGAATATGAATCCCTGCAGTCACGAAAGCTTTAAATCAAAATACTGTACATACATATCGAATCCACCACTCAATGGGAGGTCTCCTCTTCTAACCCATAGTCTCTGGAACACCCTCACCCCAGCCATCAGCTCTGTGGACTTCTTGCTTCACTGTTTCTGCACAGGGTTTTGAGCTGTGGTCTCATTTCGGACACGATACAAATATACCCACGTGGTATCAAATCCCTTCACCAACTCTTATCAAGCAGTGGATCGATCATAGCTGGCGATTATGGAGCTGGTCATTATTGTTTGTCGTTTGTGACGTTCTCACTCGCCCCTACTGGAAATCTGAGAAAAAAACGAGCTTTATAGCTCATCGGATTCCTCCAGCGTTAATAAACATTCTGAATCTCTTCTTGGTTCTTTCGGTAAAGTCACGTAGAATGGAAATAAAATAATAAAAATAAAACATATTACAATAAAAAAATAAAAAATTCTGAATCTCATTCAATGGGAGAAACTTGTGTGACTCCACGTGCTTCCGGCCTCCTCCTTTCCCCCTGATGGCCCCTCCCCTCAGCCCCGCCCCCCCTCTTCGCCCCTCCTCGCTAAGGACGCTGGGAAGCGCAGCCTCTTTCTCTTCCGGCGGCCATAGCGGTGAGTGTGTCTGGAGTGGCGCGGCGCGATAGGAATCCATCGCATATCGCCGCCATCCTCGCGTCTCCTCGGGCGAATTCCCTCTCGAAGGGTCGCACGGAGTCCACGGCGCGTCCCGGTCCCCGTATCGGAGTGAATTGCCGCGCCGGGCCCCCCAGAGTTCGGGTCTCGCCGGGACCCCCTCTAGGTCCGAGCGGTGCTTTTGGGTCCATTGGGGAATGGCGCCGTGGTTAGCGCGACGCGTTGCCACCGACTTGGGCGACTTGGTTCCTCCTTTTAGCGGCCACGGCTTGATGTCCGTGGCACGTGTTGTCGGAACCCTCCTGGGGACGGACTCGGCCTTCAAACACTTTAAACGACTGAATTGTGCGATTACTAGGCAAGCGGGCAGCAATATTTGGTGCTGTTTTTGGCGTTAATAGGCGCTGCATAAACATAGTTTGTTCCGTCCCTTGCTATGCGGGGAAATACATGCACGTTTATCTGTGTTGCAAGTCCAACCGTGTCGGCCCGGATCTTCCACGCCACGCTAGTCGGGTTGTGTGTGAAGGGGGGGACGCGCTAGGCCTGTGTGGTATAGAACTGTCTGCCTTAGTCCATATTGTGTACATAGCTTTTGTTTCCAGTAGCGCCAAAGCCTAGGCGTGTACCTCGTGTGGGTTTAGACCCTGGTATAACTCTTAGGGGCTACTTGGCCTGTGTGCGAATCCCCGGGTTGAGCTGAGTCTTACCAGAAGATGGGCAGGGTTGAGCCTTGGATGGTGCTTGGATAGACGGCCACCGTGCCTTTTGTAATGGACTTGGGTTGCTGCCGCTCCGTTGTCGGCAGAGAACAGTGCAGAACAATCCATTGAACAGGGCTATTTATGCTACCGCGGCTTTCAACAATTCTCACTGACCAGCGTGGTGAAGTATGGTCGCATAACCCGCATGGCGTTGGGAGGCCCTCGTCATTCATTGTATTGGCAGAAAGACTGTAGATCCACACGCAGTGCTTCATGTTCGTCACAGCTTCATGGAGCACAAACAACAGTGTTGAGGATTTACATATCTGGCATGAAAGTGCATATAATAAGTGTTGAGTGGAATATTTATTTCGGTGAAATCGCAGGTACTTTTGGAGCCTTCTGAACTGTGTAGATCCACACGCAGTGCTTCATGTTCGTCACAGCTTCATGGAGCACAAACAACAGTGTTGGGGATTTACATATCTGCCATTATGAAAGTGCATATAATAAGTGTTGATTGGAATATTTATTTAGGTGAAATCGCAGGTACTTTTGGAGCCTTCTGACCGGGCACAACGATTCGTAAATGAAAATATAACGCTCCTGGTACATGAATATAATATTGTGCGCACGAATTGTATCACATTTTCTATATGTAATCGGTTCACGCAGCTAATATATGCTGCATGCCCCGTAATTGCAAGACAGATCTATTCTTGAGCCACGTCTTGCAATTTGCTGCAATCACGGAGGCAATGCATGTTGACTTCACGAGGGCCCGTAGGTTTGGTTTATTTTGGCTCTGGTGAAATCCATTGGGGCAATTAATGCCCGTTTTCTAAGGGGACCTGTTTACACAATACAACCACCACAAAGAATACAAGGCTAGTAGAACACATCACACAAAGCGTATTGGGTGAAAAACAACACCGAGGTCGGTATGAGTGTCATGAAGTGGCTGTAGGTGACCCCGTTTCGCACAACTCATAACACGTGCTGATGTGCCTCTTGTTTTCAGGTGAGCCAAGATGGGCGCCTACAAGTATATCCAGGAGTTGTGGCGCAAGAAGCAGTCCGATGTGATGCGCTTCCTGCTCCGGGTTCGTTGCTGGCAGTACCGGCAGCTGTCGGCCGTGCATCGTGCACCCCGGCCCACCCGTCCAGACAAGGCCCGCCGGCTCGGCTACAAGGCCAAGCAAGGTGCTTCCCAGGGCCTCGTGCGCATCGTCCCCTGAACCACCCCCCTCCTGCTGAGAGGGGATTGCTGGAAAAATAGATTTTTGATATGGCCGACGATGTGACGTGGATGGGCAACCTAGGGCCACACTGGCAGGGAACAGCCTGTGTGGACATCTGTGAAAGAAATAATCGCTCGGCGGATTCCTCCAATATCAATAAATGTTCTGATTCTTAATTAATTTTGTATGGCCTGTTTACATGAGGTCTCCCAAGTCGAATTGGCTGGCAAGCTAAATCGGTCACTGCAAGCATTTAAGCAGCATGAACCAGGTTTGTTCACTTGGCTTTGCTTGCTAATTTTAGTACACTTAGTCACCTGTTAAAAGCGAACCCTTAATTGTTAATTGTACTGGATAATGCTAAGCTGTCCATTTAATCGGTGGCCCACCAAAAGTGTTTTGAAAGTTTCATTTGCCCCTCTCTAGGGAAAAGGTTATCCACTGCAGTATGGGGCTGAACATGGCAATGTGCAATTTCCTCCCTTGATTTGGGGCCACCAATTGAGTGCTGCCTTGTGCTTGACTGAGCATGGGAACACGGAAAATCGTGATTTGCAATTGCTGAACTTCTCTCTTCCTTTACAGGCTACGTAATCTACCGCGTGCGTGTTCGCCGCGGTGGCCGCAAACGCCCCGTGCCCAAGGGAGCCACCTATGGCAAGCCCGTCCACCAGGGTGTGAACCAGCTCAAGTTCGCCCGCAGCCTGCAGTCCGTTGCTGAGGTGAGAAGTTGCTCCTGTCTGTTGGCGCACAGGGTTTAACAGTGTCAAATGGAGTGAAAACGTTGCCTTTTAATGTATTTGGTTCCTTTTGACGGTACAGTGGGCACCTATGGGAAAGACTAAATAGTTTAATCCAATGTATGAATGTGAATGACTGGTAAGAGGCCACCCATTTAGTATGTACGCAAAAATCTGTCAAAACTTGACCCCTCCCTGTACGCACGCGTACTTATACCCCACCTGTGTATGTACGCTTGACCCCTCCTCCGAATCCTATAGAACGGCAAATATTTAATCCACGCAGAAACGATCAAGGATTCATAATCTTAACGTGTTTAAGAAAAAGTCCACCGCCGGACTAACTCAGAAGGCCAATGTAGACAAATTATTATCGAGGCTTCACCCCTGTTTCCTATGCGCAAGTACATTGTCAGTAGACCCCCCCCATACGCAAGCGTACGTAGTTGGGTTAACCCCCACCCCCCGCTGGGATGTGAGGATGTTGGAAAATGTACTGGTGCACCTGTGCATATTTTTGAGCATATCCCTCCCACATGCATGGATCTTCTCCAGGTTTACATCCACAATGCAAAAAAACATAAAATGGAATTGGCCTTACCTTCCAAAGTAAACTTTCCTGAAAAGGTCTTGAAACAGACATCCCAATTAAATGAATAACATTAAGGCTTATTTAAATAAAAGTGACATAGAACTTTGCTATTTGTCTTCATGCTTGTGTAGGAGCGCGCCGGCCGCCACTGCGGTGCCCTGCGTGTGCTCGCATCCTACTGGGTGTGCGAGGACTCTACGTACAAGTACTTCGAAGTGATCCTCATCGACACCTTCCACAAGGCCATCCGCCGCAATCCCGACACACAATGGATCACCAAGCCGGTGCACAAGCACCGCGAGATGCGAGGCCTCACTTCAGCCGGCAGGAAGAGCCGAGGCCTGGGCAAGGGCCACCGCTTCCACCTCACGATTGGCGGCTCGCGCAAGGCCGCTTGGCGGCGTCGCAACACGCTGCAGCTGCGCCGCTACCGCTAGGCTGCACCACATCGGGCCCCGGGCCCTGCTTGACACTCCTTCGCTTCTTGAAGCTGTACCTGGCTGGATTGACATGGGCAGTTTATACCATGTCCGCGTTTGCCTGGTTGCATCCAATCGTTGTGAAATCTACAACCACTTCTTGAGCTGGAGCAGTGCAGTCTGGCGGGTTTGGGTGAAAGCTGTTGTGTATTATTTCAAAATAAAGTACAAAACATCCCTTGAGCAGCCAGTGTTGTAGGTTTTTTTACCCTAAATACAGCACTTTTAACTTGTTTCATGAATTGGAATGTATGTTTAAAGAACAGGTTTTATTGTCAGTAATGATCAGGCCACTGCTGGATGAATAGTTCCCTATGCATGCCTGCATGCGAGCTAATTTAATCAATCTGGATTTTAAGCTTTCGTGACTGCAGGAACCCATACGCTGGTTCTTTTGGTAAAGTCACGTCGATAGAAAAAAAAGAACACGAAGTTTCGGTCGCAACACAAGCGTCCGTCATCAGGTGAGAAAGTGATCTGCTTTTGTAGCTTTATAGAGGCACGGGAGGGGTTTTTTTTCAGAGTGGTGGCTGCAGGAGTTCACGAGGAGAGGGGGTATGGAATTGATGTTGCAAAATTGGTACAGTGCCAGCAGGACATGTGGCCAGATGACGAACGTGTGATCTACGTATCTCTTCCACAAGGAAGGACGTCTGGTGGATGTCTGGATGGTATCTCAAATTTCTCCATGAAAACATTCGCTACCACTGGTGATAGGGGAGAGCCCATTGGGGTACCTTAATTCTGTTTGTCGAAAGTATTACAGGTGAAGTGGAAAATGATGGCAAGCTACCATTCCTGGTTGAGACCTGATGGCTCGTTGGGACACTGTCTATAGGAGAGCCACCCACACGGATTCCTATCTAATGCCTGACTCCCACCACCATCCAGCCCAGAAGAATTCCCTCAGCAAAACACCACCATAGGGCTCGTTGCATCTCCGACCAGCACCACCTAGCCGTTGAGCCTGAGCACGTATGCCAGGCTCTCAGGAGGACAGGATATTCTGACCGCACAATCCGCAAAGCTGCATCCCCCAACCATGGGTAGAGAACCATCTGAGGACCCAATCAAAATCATCACCTTGCCATACATAAAAGGGGTCACCAAAAGGATTTCCAAAATCTCGAACAAACACAAGATCCAAGTTCGGTTCAATACAATACACAAAATCCGTGATTTGATTTTATCGGTGAAGGATGTGATTCCGGACATGCAATGTCCTGGTGTGTATAAGCTGAGTTGTGTCTGCGGCAACAATTACATTGGTGAAACGAAGCGACATGTCTTAGACCGGGTTTGCGAACACAAAGCGGATTTTAAACACAGTAGAACCAACACCTCAGTGGTGGCGGATCGTTGTTTCAATGCTGTGGGCACATGGCATTGTTTTTTCCGAGACCAAGGTGCTCTGCAGACCCTCGGGCTACCATCAGAGATTTGTTCATGAAGCCATCCAGATATACAAACAGACAAAACTTTAATCGAGAAGATGGATTCAGATTGAGCAATCATTGGAAGGACGTGATAAACCACAAGTTTTTAACTGCTGTGATTCTCACTTACACCCGTGCTGTTTTCGTTTATTAATTCAAGCTCATTGACATGCTAATTTCTCCAGCCCCCACTCAGCCCTGCACGCCACAAACCCTCTCCCCGTGAACTCCTGCAGCCACGACTCTACACACCCCCCCCCGTGCCTATATAAAGCCACAACAGCAGATCATTCTTTCTCACTTGATGACGGACGCTTGTGTTGCGACCGAAACGTGTTTTTTTACGAATTTAATCACTCCATAATAGTGGATTCCATTTGGATGCTTTCTCTCTTGGCTGCCATCCACCCACCAGCAATCGCTGATGTGTTCTGCCCAAGCCCACGACACAATTGACTTTATCTTGTATACTCTTAAGTAGTCGGGTGTCCAAACATACACCATTTTCTGATCCTCACAGCAGGTACTTCGCATTCATTGCAAACTTAGGCAAATGAGTATATTGCATTTCAGCAATTTAAGCTTTAAAAAACGCGCACCAACCTGCTCTGCTGCAAATTCATCAATTTGATAAAGTTACTGCACAGAGTATATATGGTGTCCATAATAGAGGTTTTTGGGTTAGATCGTGTAAATAAATGATGTTAAGCCTGCCACTACCCGACAGCCAACTTGTAAGGGTTGTCACGTAAACAACATGCTAGTACATCACACCGATGTGTTGGAAAGCCAAGTCACAACATTTACAATCGGATTATTGTTGTGGCTTGGCTGTAAATATAGCTTGGCTCTCCAACACACCGGTGTGCTGTGCCAATGATGAATTGACATGTTCTATTTATATGACAACCCTTACGAGTTGGCTGTGTCGGGTGGTGGTGGGTTTAACGACATTTACGCGATCTAACCCAAAAAACCTCATGGATGATATTGGTCGCGAAAACCTGCGTGTTAAACTCTACATTTTGTGTTTTGCATTTCTCAGCGTGCATTAAGTCCATAATGTATGCATAAAGAGTGCCGTGTGCATTGAAATGTGAGACTTTTGTAAAAATCCATAAACTTGACAGGAAATGTAATCTCAATTGGCTAATCTGTTCATAAGGTACGGGATCAAGAACAACGCGGTGGACTCTTATCGGGATAAAATCACACGTGAATATAAAGGAGTAGTGGTCCACTGGTTAATGGACTCGTAAACCTTACAACCTGAGTTTTATTCCCAGCCATGGCTCAACGGTGGCGAGTGATAACCGGTCCTGGGCTTCATGCATAATGTGGTGAATTATGCCATATAACCCCCATGACTAGAATGGTGTGAGGAGGCCTCCGGTTTACTGACAAGGACTGAACGTTAAACAAGTTAACAGGTTCTTTTTAAAACGGCAGAAAACAATCAACTTCCAGGTGAGCCCTCTAATCAGTGTGGATTTCAGCTGGTTAACTTAAGGGTGGTTTTCATGCCTACTGGAGCACTGACGAATCAGCAATATGGCCATTGACAGTATGGGACAAGTGGTCTAAATTACACCCACGAATTAGGCAATAAACAACGCACATCACAACATTGCTAGGACAAGAATGAATGTTGGACGAAACGGGTGATTCCTGGGAGTGCTTCCACCGTGGAAGCGGTGAGATCAACTCGTCAAAGAGGCGCGCTGTGGTGAGATGTTAACTACCTCGTCTGGTGCACAGGACGTCGTGGGTTCGATCCCGACCCTGACGCCTGCTGCATATTTGGAGTGTGCGTGTTCTCTCCGTAGTTGCGTGGATTTTTCGCCGTGTCCTCCGATTTTCCCCACCACATTTAGAAACGCACGTGTTAGAATATGGTGGCTGCTGGTATAAATTTCCACGCCATAAGCCACTTCGTTGAGCCATCATTGGTAGCCAGGTCGCTTCTGAAAAAGAGCTATGTAGCTCGTCGGGCCTCAGCTGGTAAAATTAAAATTATTTAAATTGTTTTATAGATGAGATTGTGGCACTGCAGCAGCGAGAGTGGATGGACTCGCTCATGATAACAATGAAGATGATCGTGACGCTCACGTGCCATGGTGCTCGATGCCTCGCGCAGCGGATAAAAACAACGGCTACTTGCGACTGATGATCATAACTTATCAAAGTCCTCGATGTTGCTACCGTTTGCTGATGAGGATCATACTGCTGCTGTTGAATGCCGGAGTTTGCTGCTCATGTTGGAGAAGCTGATGATCCTCCTCCTGCTGCTGCTGCCATTGATGATAACGATGGCATCGATGATAACGATGGTATCGATGATAACGATGGTAATGATGATAACGATGGTAATGATGCTGCTGTTGATGATGTTGCCACCGCTGCCACTGCTGATGGTCGCATGCCGAGTGGCGGCCGTCAGCGCCGCGCTCCTTCCACGCGAGGCCAGGGCAGCCCCCCACCCACACGCCGCCTGCCCCCCCCCCCACGCCGCCTGCCCCCCTCCCCCCCACGCCAGCAGCGGCACAGACGGGCTGTAACAATCGGCACACTCCCCCCCGCGCGGGTCAATTTTGCGCCCGCCCCGCTGATTTCGCGCGGCCGCCGTCAGAGTCTCACCGCCGCCAGGGGGCGGTGGCCGCGCTCGCCAGGCCTGGGCCCTTCCCAGAGCCTCCTTCCAGTCGCACATTCACGTGGGAGGCGGCAGCAGCGGCGGCGGCTTTAAAGGAGGCGTGGGGTGGGAGGGCGACTAACGTCCCTGTAGGTGTGCCACAGGAGCGAGGGAGGTGGTGGAGTGAGGAGGTTGGTGTAGAGGAGGTGAGGAGGTTATCGTGTGGTTGGTTGGTGGTGGTGGTCGCTGTGTGTTTTAAGTTCGTGCAGTGGCGGCCACGCCGAGTCGCGTGGAGGGTCCACGGACCGCGACTGTTGGAGCGGTCTTGTCCTGTGTGTGTGTGATGATCATGCCGCGGGTTTGCGGTGATGTTTCGCTCCGGACAAACCTCGCGCGTCTTACCGTGGCTAATTGCACGCGCTGTATTGCTGGGTTCTGTTTTAGTTTCACACTGCACTTGGTGTCTCATCGCGGTGACTGAACACCTGCCGTTGTCTGTGCCCGTACAGTGCAGTGATTGTCCCCCATCCAGCAGTGGATGAAGGCACGGCTGGGGATGCCGTTGAGCAAGTTATTGAAACGTAGCTTTTGGTGTGACAATTTCCATTTATTTTTTTTAACGTCACCCGCTTCGTCGCTTTATACGACAAAAATGGATGCCCGTTGTGATTGTTTTCGAGTCGGGACCAGTTGGCGAGAGGGCCTTGCGCGTTGCGATGTTTGGTTTATGCCCTCCCATTAAATATCCCATCAGAGTCCAGATACGTGCGTGGTGTCCGTCTCCTGGTGACCTTTGGGCAAAGTCTTAAGTACTCCTGCAGTCGGAAACTCTCTCATCCAGCTGCAAAACTGACATTAAGGTCGGTTTAGCACGTAGGCTTTCGCGACCAAAATTATATCCATGAAATAGGTTACTCTTCCCAACGAGTAACTAATCGGCACGTTTTGTTTTTACGTGACAAACCTTACTGATTTGGCTGTGTCGGGTGGTGGCGGGTTTAACTACACATTTATATTTATGTGATTTAACCGCGCCCCCCTCCCCCCCCCAAAAAAAACCCTCTGTTCTGACATTAAAATAACTGCTGACCATTCCGGGGATCAGAGGAGATGGTGGTAGCAGCGGACTTCAAGTACGGTACTGTTCTAAGATGGGCTGGGGTCAGTCTCTGTGCGGCCCTCTCTGTCCACTGCCACCTGCTCATGCCATGAGTGTGGCTACGTTGTGGTCAGCAGAGGGCAGGACAGCGAAGAACAGCAAAACCCCAATTCACGTCTCTTCCCCACCCCTCTTTTGCGTCGTTTCGCAAATACGTCGACACTTTATTATTAACACCTCAACGTGATTTGCGTCCCCTCAACCCCCACGCATCGTCACCTCCTTTCTCGTTTTCCGTCGCCTCTCGGCCTTCGTCTCCACCACCTCCTGCCCTGTAAATCGCTTCGATTGACGTCGTTTCGATATTCATCGTCGCACCTTTCAGGAACGCATCACATGACGTAAACCGGGGTATTGCTGTACTCTACATTGTACCCATATCCATGCTCGCAGCCTTCACCAACCCGCGCTGACCCAGCGGTGAACTATGGTCAAATAACACCCAGGACCCGCACGGCAGTGGGGAGGCTCTCATTCATCAGTGGGTCAACATAACGGCCGCGTTTGTGTTTCCGTCAAAAAAATGTCTCCCATCTGTTTTCAATTGCGCAGGGTTTACGGTGACGACCTGCAAGATGGCAGCTGGGGTGGCTGTAGGCGGCCCCACGAGTTTTTCAGCGTGGCTGGGCACGCAGGGCGCGAGCGCGAGCATGGCGCTCGCGCTCGAGCAGGAGCTGGGCATCGGCAGCGAGGATACGCTGCTGGCCTGCGCCGAGGACCCGCACATCCGGGCGGAGTTGCTCTCCCTCGCGCGGCGCCGGCTGCCCTTCGGCTCGTACGCTGTGCTGGCGCGCCTGCTGCGAGGGGTTTGGCGGCTGCGGATTGCGGCGGAAACTTTCGGGGGCACGGAGGCGGCGGCGGCAGCGGCGGCGGCGGTGCTGCCGCCGACGGACTCGTGCCAGCTCCGCTGCGGGGAGCACAGCCTGCTCACCAGCCTCCTGCACGCCATCGTGATGACGCTCAGCAGTTTGAGCCAGGAGCTGCAGGAGTCGGCGGAGAGGTTCAGCTGCCTGGATGGGCTGGTGCAGGCGGGCGCCAGCCCACGGAGCACAGGCTCGCCGGTGCCAGCAGGTCTGCGAGCGATGGGCACGCGCAAGTGTGCACTGGCTGCCAGCGAATGGCACTTGCGGTGATATCTTGTGCTGTGTGAGAGGATAGGCCCTTATGTGTGTGCATGTATATGTGTGTCATTGTTAGGGGAGTGGTAGGGTCGTAGTTAGCGCGCTGCTCTACCAACCCAGCGACCCGGGTTTGATTCCTGCTCGCGTTCAACACCGGTGATGATTATCTGAACCGGTTCTGGGCCTCCCCTAGGTCGACTCGGTCTCAAATGAGTACCTGGTGCGATGTGTAAACATCGCCACTCGGGAGACAAAGGCGGTCAGGTGTGGTGCTGGCCACCCACCCCCTCGTGTGCCGTTCCGGCATTCATAGGTGCTCGCCAACTGCACTTGTCCCTACAGTCTGTAAAGGCTATACAGGGATCTTTGTCTTTGTGTGTCATTGTGCAGAGGCAGTGGACAGCCCTGTTCCAGTGGAGTCTTCGTCCCCTGTGGATGCTTTCGGGGCGCTCGCAGACGAGGAGCAAAACCCGTCTCGAGCGTGGGATGTAAACATCAAAATGGAGCCGGTCGGTGAAAGTAAGTCTGGCATTCGTAGAAATTGCAGTGGGGCCTTCTTTTCTTTCGAAATTAGCCACGTGTGTGGTGGTGAGTGAGCTAGTGGACGGCTTCAGGAGGCTTCAGGAGTAGCCTGATTAAAAATATCTGAAAGACTGATGGCTAATGATGGAAGTGACGGTCCATGGTTTTAGATCGGTGACTGCAGTCACACTGTGGGCTCACACCGATGGAAAAATTAAGGCAAGAGATGGCTGCATCTGCTGTCCAATTGTTGTATGCGATTCAATACAAATGTCACAACTGTGATAACACAATGTAAGCACTTAAGTGCAGTTGAAGGTGCCAACTTGGCTATTGTCGATTATAATCGACAATAATTATTGACACATTAAAAGTGTGAAAAGCTTCAAGTGATGTTCGATAATGTAAGGTGCCATTGGGCACTTTCGTGTGCTGTGACGTAGGTACACCTGACAGCTCTGATGGGTTTTCTGGCCCCAACTTGGATGTGTCTTTCGTGAAGGTGGAAGTGGAGACCGATTGCCTGGAGAACGGTGGGTCCAGCTCATGTTTTATTCTAAACTGGGCATCTATAGCATTCATGTTTAAACAGTTGTGTGTCTGTGTAATATAAAGAACGTGTTGTTTTTGGTGTGAAAGTAATGTTTAGCGTGCTTGGTTCTCCTGTGTGTAGGTGATGTGCCAGAGTGCAGTAGAAAAGAGGCATTAGAAGATCTGGCATGCACGTGTCATCAGGACGTTTCTGCCCAATGCTGCAGCAAGGAATATTGCAATGACGTCAATACGTTAAAGCAATGGAAAGCAGCCAGACCCAAATACAAGTGGAATAACGACCAGGGCAGGTCACCGGACTGGGCTGTTGATAAAACGTCACTCGTGAGGAATAGCAACAATCCACGCTGTGACAAGGGCAGCGGTAAGAAAGATTTGGGAGAAGTCTGGAATCCCAACCTGACTCTTGATCAGAGCGTGGTTCTCATTGAAGATGACAATCCGTTTACGGCTGAGAACAGTGTTGGATATCAACACCGAGTGCATGCGACTCCAGGTGCTCAAACGCCGACGATGCACCTGGATAACGATGGCTCGCCTGTGCAGATATTCACACAGCCGGTGAGGACTTCTGCCACGGAAGACGAAGTTCATGGCACTGATAATCAAGAAGACGCTGTTTCATCAATGGAGCCGCCACCGTCTCTGGGAGCGGCACAGGCAGAGGATGTTCCGTATGATGGCTGCGTGGAGCGTGGCCAGGAGTTTTCGCTGCCGGCTCAGTACGTGCGGCACGTTCCTTGTCACCGACGCGGCGGGGACGGCGGCGTGAACGACGGCGCCGCGGGAGGCGGCCGTCCCTTCACGTGCCCGCTCTGCGGGGCTTGCTTCTCGCACCTATCGGCGCTCAACCGCCACAAGCGCACGCACACGGGCGAGCGGCCCTTCTCGTGCGAGGAGTGCGGCAAGCGCTTCACGCAGTCGTCGCACCTGAACCGCCACATGCGCACGCACACGGGGGAGAAGCCCTTCAAGTGCCTCCACTGTGGCAAGGGCTTCCTGCAGTCGTCCGACCTCGCTCGTCATCAGCGCACGCACGCACGCCGCCCCCACAGCCACCAACGCCAATGAGATGATTCATCAGCATGGTCAACGAAGGACCGTTGTGCCAAACGCGTGACCTTTTGCGACAGCATTCGCATAAACTGATCTTGCTGCCATATACCAGTGTCTCAAGTAATTTGTTTGATCCATGTATCGCGATGGCGGTGCCATTCCTTTGAGGGTCGCAGTCCACCTCAAACGTTAACCGCCAACTGAAGTGCACAATTTGCTGGAGATTGTGCATCCAGACGGGCGACGTATCTAAACAGTGACAGCCATCTCCCTCCAACGAAGCTCCCAATTGCGAGGAGACCGGTCGCAGATGCTAATGGTGACATTTACAACGAAGTTGAACCATCGGATGCCAAAAAGACATCTTTGGCATCGCATGTGGACGAACTGCAGCCGATCCAAATGAGCTTGAACCAATTTCCAGGCCTTCGCACGATACAGAAATTCTGACAACGCAGCTCTGGCAGACTCAATTTGGTGCCCGAATGTGTCTCAGACCGTTCATTATTCCAGAGGCCAGGCCGATCCGGCGCATAACTTCAGGTCTACGTCGTCCATCAGTGGTCTGTTCAGATCCCAGGTAGAGAAATTCCTCCACTGCTTCGACAGCATTACCATTAATTATGCAGTTTGCTTCTGGAGGTCCAGAGCCTAAGTTCTGGAATTGAGATCTCCACCCTATATTGGGGTGCCTACAAAATATCTCCACGATTGCCAAACGTCTTCATTTCAATAGCATTGACATCCCTTTGACTTCACCTATTTTTTTGTTTGAGTTCACATTTGTAGGTTACAAAGAGGTTGTGAGAAACTTATGCTTGGCATTGGGAGAGGACACTTCTTTTTTTAATATCATTACTCTGCTTGTTTACCCAGGAAAGCCTAACTTAGTCTCAACTCTTTTTCTGGAGGGTCCTGGCAGGACGTTTGCAGTAGGGGGCGATGATTATCTTTGTTTCCCAGTAACACGATTTGCAGGTTTTTTTTTATTTAGCAAATCTGGATCATGACACGAGCATACAATGGTCTACTGTTCATCTAATAATGTCATGGGATCATTAACGTCCACTCTGAAACAGACGGCGTGTATTTTATTCTTAATACACATGAAGTATTAACCAGGGCAGCCTGCCAGATTCAAACCGCAAACCTCTGCAAGAAGCGGCAAATCCACAACCGCCTGGTCATGTGACCGGCCAAACTGAACACGCAACTATCGTTTTGCACTCGTCAAAAACATTTTTTTAATGATTGCTTTGTAACAGCTCTTACGTGTGTCAGCGTTAATATTTGTACCAGAAACGAACAGGAATAAAATGTTTTTTTTTTCATAGAAACGGATTTGTTTGATCTTTAAATTGTATGCACTCCCACATTGGCTGTGTTTTTTAGTGGTATGTTAAGCCAGAGGACAGGAATGACTGAACAATGGACTAAGATGTTTAATGTGTGAGTAAATCTGAGTGACATTCACAAACTCAATCCAGTGATTATTCGCTGCTTGCCAAACACTCTGCCAATAAAATAAAAACTCGCCACTATTGTCAATATTGCCTTAAAACATAAATATATATAAAATGAGCTAAAGTTTTTTGACGTTCGCCCCTCAAGAGATACGATAATAACATGACATGTTGCACTACACTGCCTGCTACCTTCAAATGTTGAAGCTGATTTATGGGCAGCAATTCCCATAAACGGATGCTGAATAGCGAATACACCCACAAAATTGTTGATAAACTGGATTCACCGAGGGTTTTTGTCATCTCCAACTAGAATCCAATCAGTCATCTACTCGAACGAAGGCCCATTTCCTGAAACGGCCGATTACTCTGTTTTTCTTTAGCGACATTGTTGACATGCACTGCTGTCAACACTTGTCATTTCGCTACTGAAGGCCCTCCTCCCTATGCCGTTTCAGTCGATGTACATTAACCACAGCACGTTGAAGTATGGTCAAACATTGTTCACGATGAATACTTGCGTTTTGAGACCATCTAGCAGTGGATTGGCAAAGAACGATATACGTTGTTTTGTGTTATGCACTGTTCTGAATCACGCGTGCGTTTGCCCATGCACGTTTGCAAAGTGTACAATTACACTCCATTCCTAAGGCATACGAACATCTCGACGTGATTATACCGACCAGTGCTGTTTAAATAATAGTTGCGGGGTTAGGTTGGAAGTGTCCAGGACATATGAACCTTATGGCGGGACCCCGGAGTCCCGACTAAACGGTAGTCAAAATCGTCATTAATTTCCTTATTTTTGGCGACTCCGTCCCACCGCGCACATAAACGCCGCGACCCGCAGGGCGCGGGGATCATTCTGTTGTCGTGTCGTCCAAGCGCAGCAGCGAGGACGAATGCGCAAAAGAAACTTTGATCAGCGCATCGTGTAGAGCTCGTCGACAGGAACAGATTGCCGTATCGTTCGCCTTCAACAGACGTAAAATAACGTCGCAAGGTAGTTTATGCGAGAGCCGGGGGCTTACGGGACCTCGGGGCCTGTCCCGCCATAAAAATTTCATATGCGCTGGGCTTTAGACCAACAGTTTTGGATGTGATTCAGAGGCAAAAGGCTTGGCTTGGTTCAAGCAGTAGGTGGCGACACGAATACGCTCACTGTAACGCCGTATCTGTCAATCCGATCTTCCCTGTGCCCGAGCTCACAGGGCGCCGCTAAAGAACCACGGGTTACACGATGCTCCTACACCAGGGCGGATGTAACAGGAATAGGGCCACTCATTGTTTTTTTTCGGTAAAGTCACGTATGTAGAAATACAATAAAATTATATTAAAACAAAAAACAATCACGACGTTTCGATCACAACGCAAGCGATCTTCATCAGGTGTCAAGAACAAATCACGGAGGTAAATACAACAAAAAGATGAGATACGAGAATTCAACAAACCTGAAAAAACATTATGTGAAGCACATCCAGTCCGGCCAACAACACAGACACTTCCTGGCGGACCACGAGTTTCAGAAGAGTGTTAAATTTCGTGTTCAACCTTTGGATTGCACATACCAGCATAGATAGAATGAAAAATACGAGGTACACGGTCAGTAGAAATACATATACAAGTCCACCAAGAGGTAAGGAGGGAGGAAAGACGGACAGGGAGGCAGAGAGAGAGAGAGAGGGGGCAGCTCAAAAAAGGACCACCTCTTGTAAATACAAAACGGCAGCTCAAAAAATGACCACCTCTTGTAAATACAAAACGGCAGCTCAAAAAAGGGCACATCTTACACATAATTACAACGGTAAATTCCCCGTAGAAGTGTGATAATTGTATTTACCTCCGTGATTTGTTCTTGACACCTGATGAAGATCGCTTACGTTGTGATCGAAACGTCGTGATTGTTTTTTGTTTTAATATAATTTTATTGTATTTCTAGATACGTGACTTTACCGAAAAAAACAATGAGTAATTTTATGCAGTCACGAAAGCTTTAATACTTTATTAGGAATAGGGCCGCTGGCTAAGACCCCGGCGGGGCGAGACCCGCCCATGACCCAGACACATCCACCCATGTTCAGTGGAAATTTACCAGTGTCCCGACCGTAAAATACAATGTTCGTGCAGTCCCCGTGTTCAAATAATGCCTGATTGATGAGCATTTACTGGAATTGCCGTGTCCTGGAAAGTTGGTTGAAATCTGATTTCAGAGTACCCGAGCTTTGCTTTATGCTCCACAAAGGCCCTTTGAGCCAATGAAACCCAATTCGGGAAGTCAACCAGACTGGCCCTACCCCCACAGCCCCCTACTCATCACCCCCCCTACACACACGCGCGAAAGGGCGTTGATACAATCAGTTGCCATTGGTTATGGCCAAGCATGATGGTGCTTTGGAAGCAAGGGTTGGTGGAACACAGTATTTAAACTTCCCAACTCAATGCGGAAAGACATAGTCAGCACAGCAAGTAGGTTCTAGAATCCGTCTGTGTCTACCATTGAACATTATCTTCTCTTATGTGTGGGTTTTCTCTGGTTCCTCCCTGGCACGAACACTTCTTAAAATAAAAATCACCCGAAGATCCATCTAGAAAAGGTGATGAGTCAGTAAGGCTGTCCTGAAAAGTCATTAGCGCGTGCATTTATTTACGCGTTCACGTCACTTGGCTGTACCTGGGGGAACTGGAAAACCAGGCTTCCCCCACCCCCCCAGGTTGCATAGCTTAGAGCAGAGTCCAGCAGGCCCGCTGCTGCCCGTGTACCTACCTGGTTGACACACCCGCTCCCACTTTCCTCAGCTGAATGGGGGTAGCAGTCGCTTTGACCTTTGCTATAATGCTCAGGGGCAGGGCAATGCGCACTTTGAATGCTGCATTCGTTTTGTTTGGAGCTTTGGTTGGCGTTAACGCCCTTTCCAAACACCTCGCGCAACTGTACGCCCCCCCCCCCCCCATTCCCCTCCTCCTGTGCGATGAGGCCATTCAGCTCTGCTGCGATGTAGAAAGCAGTTAAAAGCCACCCCCCCCCCGTGCCTTTAACACAAGTGCCGGCAAGGTACAGCTGTGCACTTGTCAAAATTGTGGCTCCTCCACAGCCGCACAATGCACACTGCTGGGTCTCGTCAGCTCGAATTTATTGGGGGCAAAAATGATGTTACCGTGTGGAATGTGCACAGAATACGATCGCACAGGATGGTCACACGGGTTTTTACTTTTATTTTAACAACCAGACACTTGCACGCACCTAGAAATATCCACGCTGTTGCTTTCAGTAAGTTTCCATTACATTACTGCAAACGTGTACTTCACAGGATGCGTGTTAACATAAAAATGTCGCGTGGGATCATTTCGGTGAAAAAAAAATTACAGAGGCAAGAAACCTGTAACACAAAATCCAACACTTAGAAAGCACAATTGCGAAAGGGGAAAAACAAAACATGCTTGTCAATCGATGAGAAGAATGAAAAATAACATACAAGGCAACAGACATTTATCGGCGTGTGCTTGTTATTTTGTGTGTGTCGTTTGTAACCCTTCCGAGTCCACGTAAGGGATACTGCAGGCCAGAGGCGGCGCACAGACGCACGGAGGCACTGCACCGTGCCACGACGTGGGCCTGATGGGAAGAGGGCCCCCTGCTCTACAGCTCGTTCTTGAGCAGCTGCTTGGCTTTTTTCATGTTTTCCATCACTGGAGGAGAAAGCGGACATGGGCAGTTTTAAGACCGGCCATACATAGTTGAAGGTTGGGCACACACGGTTTTTTACATTATACCAGCTCATTTTATCGATCCACAACTGGATGAGAGGGGCCCTCTCCCTCCATGCCATGGAGTTTGTGCGGGTTATGTTTCAATACTTTGCATCGGATCAGTGCAGGTCGGTGAAGTGCGGGGATTATGGACGTGGGAGGATAGATGTGCAGTAACGACGTATTTCACCGAGTGTGCCCTCTCCTGCCCACCTTGAAGTCTCACAGCCCCTTACAACCCTGTTTATGGGTGGTGCTCACCCAGCCAAGTACACCGGAGGAACAAACCCAGCTTATCTCCCTTCATCCGAGGTGATCAGGCACATTCTGGGCGGTTTGGCCATAGGGGCAAGGGCATGCATTACATGGAGGAAAATGTACTGAAGGGTTTCTGTGCAACTTGGCAAAACAGGGCTGTGGTGGTACTCACGGAGATCGATGTCTTTGGGCTCGTAGGTGTACAGTCGGTTGTGGTAGGGTCCCGTGATGTCGGCTCGCACCGTCAGGGATGGATCTGCCCACAGTACATGAACGTCACCACCACCGTCTGCTACAAGACTCTACAGACGGCAGCAACAAAGCTGACATATTTAGACAGTTGACGAAGCTCTCCGTGAGGGTTTTCCCTGGCTGCTCCTCTTTGTGCTCATGCCACAGGGTGTGTGTGTGTGTGGGGCTCAGCAGACCGTGCTGGGAATCACTCACCCACAAACATTATGCGCGGCACGTAGGCCCCGTCCGGGCTCAGGTTCTTATCTGTCGTCTCGTGCTGTTGGCGCGCGCGCACGTGGGACACCCTTGCGCATTAGTCGTGGCACAACAGAAGACGCTCGCCGCGGCAAGACGCTCGCAGCTTCGTAAAGCAAACAAGCAGGAGACAATGCTGTAATCGCTTTAGCAGCATGTGTGCGTTATTTCAATTGAGTAAAATTGCAATGTGGCATGCACAGTCCTCCGGAGACGCACGAGATAGTTCTCTTGTTCTCCCGCACACTTCCCCCCCCCCCCACCACCATGAAATATGGACGCAAAAAAAGGACCCTTTACCATGAGATTGAGCATGATGAAATCTTCGTCTGCCATCTTCTGCACCCCTTGTGACGAGGCAAATGCTTTTTTCAGGGCTGGGTAGAAAGAAACATCAACGGACGGATGTTTGTGAATTAACCGGGCACACACGAGTTGTACATTGTGCCATGATGGGCCGGTATGTGTGGCAGTAAAGACTTACACTGGCAGTATTCGCAAGAGTCCAGGTGATGAATCACCATCAGTGGCTTGTTGCTGTTGGGGGAGGGGAGAGGGCAGGGTCACTTTACACCACAGCCAAAGCTGAGAGCAAAATGGGACGCAAAAAAGGCCTCCCTAAGGGCACCACACACAAAGTGGCCATGAAATAACTGCCCACCGTTCATTTATCAGAATATTTACTTATACTGGAGGAATCAGATGAGCTATAAAGCTTTGTTTCACATGTCTAGTAGCCACGAGGCTCCCCTTAAGTGCCCAACGCCGATAGAAATGTTCAAATCAAGGAAGTGATTGGCATTTGCAGTGAACAACCCTTAGCAGGATACAATTGATAACATTTGCAGATAAAACGAAAGTTTGAAATGTACTTACGAATTCTGGCTCTTGAAGAGCCCCTCCTCGTAGGTCTGCACCCACTCGATCTCATCGCCCCACCCTGCCAGGAGACCGTGACAGAAGCAAGGAGGGAAGATCAGAGGAGTCAGAAAAGGGTGGCCAGTGGAAGCAATACAATTCGCTCGATAGCAGCAAAGTGATTGAGGATGGAACTTTCTGGTCTTTTTTTCCCCCAAAGTTGCTGAGCACAATAAGCCCAAAGGTACAAAACACCAAGCAGTCGGCAACCTAAAGAAAACTATTTAAGTTATAATAGATAACAGTTAGTACATTTCTTGAATAGAGCAAGGTTATAAGAACTCTGGGGGGAAAAAAAAACACACCAACGATGGGAGGGAATTCAGATCAATGTTGCGAGGAGAGCAGGGGAACGGACGACGTGCAGACTGGTTTGACGATGTTCCCTCAATCCGCTTCGTATGTATATTGAACTTTTCTCGCACCGTACGTAGCCAACCGTGCAAATCGGAGGTGCTCAGTGACGAACTGGGACTAAAATCGGCCCAGGCATTTGCAAACACTCCGGTCCAAATTGGTCTTTTGGGCTGGTCAAAAAAACAAATGGGCCGGTGAAGGCGAATCTTTGGGGCTGCCGAATATGGGGACTCAATGCCAACTGAGAGCTTGAATAAGCAATGAAGCGTTCACATTAAATTCGATAAAACATTTTTTTTTACTCCGATCACATTTTCAATTTCCCCACACATACCGGCCCACCGGGTATCTGCATTCTGGCCAATGCGGCCCCGGAATAAGTGCTTCAACCAACGGATCGCCGCTCGTGCGGATTCGACACGTTTTTTGAAATCAAAATTGGAGATCCTTTGCTGCACCCTCCCAGAAGGTCGAGATGGCCGTGTCTGGACGCCGGTGGCACACCTCTAGAGAGGGTCTGCGGCTTCCTCTTGGTCGTGGACGCGGTGGCGACCGTCAGCACCGCCGTCAGGCACATCACCAGGGTTGTAACACACAGCTTCATGGTGGCAGCTGCGATGGACAACACGGCACCAGCAGCGTGCTCACGCACCCAGCAGCAGAGGGAAATAATGGCCTCGATCACCGTTTCAAACGAATTTAATGTTGCTAAGTATGCGCGATTTGATTTAAGCAGGAGATTTTATAAACGCACAGCACCGGGGTTGTAGCGCACAAGTGAAACAGTTGCTTCGTTTGTAAAGATTCCTTGGGTCGCCTGAAAAACGATTTACTAACACAATGTTTTTTTATATATACATTTTAATTCAACACGTGTAGGTAAAACGTAACAATATATTAATACAGCACAATACGAATAAGTCAAAGTAAAAAAAAATCTAAATAGCAATCACAATTATAAATACCGTACGTAGAAAAATACAAAGGTGGATATTTGCAAAGGAGAGTGATGAGATTTAGGCGAGTTACAGTCGAGGTGGTAGTGCAGAAACATTTTTCACACGCAATCTCATCAAACGTACACCGGCTTAGGCAGTCGGGGTGAATACTACATTTTAAAAAACCCGAAAACGAGCGTGGGTCGCAGCATTCACTTCAACGTTGCGGTCGAGGCCAATGCTGGGTCGAGATACCCGGTGGCGTTTGTCGAAATCGCGCACCTGACGAGGAAGCTGATCTCACGTTAAAGGTGACCTCACGTCGAAGGGTGACCTCACGTCGAAGGGTGACCTCACGTCGAAGGTGACCTCACGCCGAAGGTGACCTCACGTCGAAGGGTGACCTCACGTCGAAGGGTGACCTCACGTCGAAGGTGACCTCACGTCGAGCTACAAGAGGAAGCGCGGTTGGCGATTTCACGCCGGGAGGGGCGGACACCACGAGCGGCTCTCTCGCCCACCACTTCGACGCAAAGATGGAAGGGAAAAAAAATCCCAAGCCGGCTCACAGACACCGGCCACTGCGCCCTCGCACTACTGCACATCTGATCAAGTAACTGTAATGGTCTATTATTAGTTGTGGGGGCGGGAATGCTTGCCACTAACCGCCCAAGGTTGTCACGTTTACAAATGATACTGTGTCGACCACGTTCTGGCTTCTTAAAACTTCGCATGACCGAATTCAACATCAAACTGGGGCGACGTTTCGCTCAAACTGCTTTGAGCTTCACCAGCTACTGTGTGGTCTTACTCGCAAATCTCGCCTGTGGCTGAAGGTCGCTCTCTCTCTCTCTGCCTGCTTGCACTCCCCCCCCGTCTACCTCCCTCTCCTGCAGCCTCTCGGCTAACCCAGGCGGCCGTGAGAGCAAGCAAGCCCGGCCTCGTCGCAAGCGCTCACCTGCTCGCAGGACGAGACGACAGGTCGGACGCAACGAGGAAGCCGGCGGTCTCCCAACTTCTTCACACCTGTAGCTGCCGGGCGGTCACCTGTGCACGCCCACACACCTGTACACGTGGACACGAGTGCACGCCCACACACCTGTACACGTGGACACGAGTGCACGCCCCACACACCTGTACACGTGGACACGAGTGCACGCCCACACACCTGTACACGTGGACACGAGTGCACGCCCACACACCTGTACACGTGGACACGAGTGCACGCCCCACACACCTGTACACGTGGACACGAGTGCACGTCCCACACACCTGGACACGCCCACACACAAAGACCTCCCCCCTCTCCAACCACCGCCCGAGTGTTTAACACATCACACTTAGGTACGCATTTAAGGCTGAGTCGACCTAGGGTAAACCCAGAACAAGTTGATTTGTTCGTCGCCTATGTTGGCTGCGAGCGAAAAACGAACTCGGCTGGCCGGGTTCGTAGCGTGGTGCGCTAACCGCTGCACCACCGCTCCCCTTTGTACAACATTTTAAACAAACTCGCACCCGTAAACTTCCACGCGGCGCGAGCCGCCGTCTCACCTGTTAGCGGACCTGGCTGTGTAGTCCTCGTGAGTCCAGGCGTGGTGGTGCACACCTGTGACACGGCGCTTTTAGAGGCAAGGGTTGGTGGATCACGTAGAGATTCGTGAAGCTCCCACGAATCTCTACGGATTCGTGTCCCTGCGAGTCTCTACGGGTTGTCGAGCGTTAACTCCTCGTGCACGTGGTGGGGTTTACTCCGGGTGCTCTGCATTGCCCCCACGCGAAGCAAAGCGCCGAACATCCCAATGCAGGAGACTCGACTGTCGACTGACTGCGGCTTTTATGGACAATTAGATTAAATGTGATGACGACGACCAAGATACGTGCTTGCTTTATGAACCGCATTCAACATTGGCTGAGGAACGGTCGATGTTGGTCCATTGCACATGCAGCCCGGGAATTTTAGTTTTCTAAAATAATTAACCATGCGCACTATTAATTGACTGGGCCGCCCTTCGTCGTCGTCTGTGCGTGTGTCACACACTCCAGTCGAGTGTTACAGCCGAGTGTGTGTGACGGTTGAGTGTTTTTAAGTGTGTGTGTGTGTTTTATGAACGTGTGTGTGTGTGTTACATAGTGTGTATTTCACGTGTGTATTTTATAGCGAGCGTCTATATTGGACTATGTGGGAGTCATCAGCAAGGGTTATGCAACAATGCATTAACTCAGCGGGGTTTGGGTGTTCTGGCCAGAAACCACTCGAGCTAAGAGATGGGGGAGGGGGTTCCGTTGACTGCAGTGACGGCAGCGGCGTCACTCCACGTGGCCATGGGGCTACGCCACGGGGCGGGGCTTAGGTGCCCGGAGGGCGGGGCTTGGCGCCTGAGGGGCGGAGTCCCCGGCGCAGCAAGGATGATTCGTCGCTGTGCGATTGGCTGGCCGTGCAAGGTGGGGGGGCGGGCGGGGGAGGAGGGCCCTCACCCCGGCCCCCATCTCCAGGCTACACGAGGCGACCCCCCCAACCCCTCCCCAGAGTACAGAGCCTATGCAGGAGACACGTGTGATGCGGCGGGCACGTGTGTTGCGGCGGAAACGTGTGTTGCGGCGGAAACGTGTGTTGAGTGGGACACGTGTGTTGCGGCGGGCACGTGTGTTGAGTGGGGCACGTGTGTTGAGTGGGGCACGTGTGTTGCGGCGGGCACGTGTGTTGAGTGGGGCACGTGTGTTGCGGCGGGCACGTGTGTTGCGGCGGGAACGTGTTGCGGCGTGAACGTGTTGCGGCGTACACACCAACAGCGGTGGGGGGGTTCAGCTGGCATAGCCGTTGCTGAGCAAAAACTGGCATAGCTGGCTCAGCTGGTAGTTTTGCACAGCTGTTCAGCTGGTACAGCTGAGCAGGTTTCAGAATCTGAATATTTATACTGGAGGAATACGATGAGCTGTGAAGCTCTTTTTCACAGATGTCCAGTCGGGACGGGTCAGAACGTTACAACACAACAAAAACACAATAGGAGTGTAACATAGGAAAGGTAAACAAATCACTTTAAAAATATACATAAAAATAAACTACTGTGCTATTCACTTCTTTTTCAAAAGCGACCTGGACACAAATGATAGGTCAACAAAGTGGCATGCCACGTGTACATTTATAGCAGCAAAATTATCTAAATAAGCAAAATCTAACGCGTAGGCTTTCGCGACCAATATTCAAAATAAAGGTTTTTGGGTTAGATCGCGTTATTTATAAATGTGTCGTAACCCTCCACTACCCGACACGGCCAATCAGCGAAACGTCGTACTCAAAAACTGTAATGTTGTGGATTCACTCTTCAACACACCGGTGGGCTAAAGTAGTGAACCATTTGTCTTTTATCAACGTGACATTTTTTGCTGATTGGCCGTGTCGGGTGGTGGAGGGTTACGACACATTTATAAATAACGCGGTCTAACCCAAAAACGTGTATTATGCAGCAAAATCTTAATAAGTTTGATAGGTTGCCCAGCGTCATTCATCATGGATGCGTGGCAATCACTTTCCGTGCAGCTTCCCGCAGTATGTAGTATATCGCAACCGGTCCACGTGATGCTAGCAAATGGACCAGGCTGGTAACGAAATGGCAGCCAAAGGAGGGCAACGCGTCCGAGAGAAACGACCGCCTCGGAGATGAGGCGATGAGAAGGAGCTCGTTGTGTGGGCGCGAGATGGATTGCGCCATCGCAGAACCGAGAGATCATGATGACGTGGGGAGGCCTTCACTTAACAGTGGATCGATCATGGCTGACGATGAACCGGCAGCGGGCTTTGCTCGTTTTCTTCTGGATATCCGGATTTAGCGTCCACTCCACCGGAGGCGAATTACGAGGTTCAGCGATTATGGCGATCGTGTATTTGTAAATGTTTATCACGAGACATAGGTGATGGAACTTTAGGCCAATTCTGATCTGCCCTATGAGTGAATCCGTAAATGTTGGTTTTCGAATTTTCCCATATATATTTGAGTCCAATATTGGCTTTGTAGCACTGAATGTAGAATTAACACCCCTCTATTGTACATGCAATATGGTGGGATTATTGAATAAAAAAAACATCTTTATATTCTGCATAGAAGGCGAGCAAGGGTGAAGAATGAACTCAAACAATGAGCTCAAGATGCGACGTTTCCTGGTAGTGCTTTAGATTGTACATGTGATAGCCAAATACACAAAACGCCATCTGACTCAATCCCAAAATCCCCCGCCTACAGGATTTACCTCATTGTATACAAATAAATAATTGACAAACCAAGCTTTATTTCAGTGCGCAACAGAAGTGAAATACAGCACAGACATCAGTGACAGTAATACGCTCTGGTTGTGAGACTCAGTTTCTTGTATAATGGACTGAGGTCAGAGAGTTCCAAGGTTTGATATCCCACTCGTGCTAGGCTGGCTTGAGACTATGGATTATTAGCGTAATGCACTAACCAATAGAGTACAGAGTACGCTGATTAATAACAATCCTATATTATTGTACTGTCACAATATAAACTGGATTCAGAAAAAATAAGGCGATATGGATGTGGCGTGTTAAAATGAGTCTCGGATTAGATTTCGAGACTGCTCCGGCTGAGTTGAGCGCTGGAGAGTTCCATTATTAAAGGTTTAACACGTAGACTTTTGCGACCAATATCCAAAATACAGTTGTTTTAGTTAGATTGCGTAAATATAATTGTGTCTTTACCCACCACCATCCGACACAGCCAATTAGTAAGGTTTGTCACGTAAAGGAAACACGCTCAGCATACCGGTGTGTTGGAGAGTAAACCCACAACATGCACCTCCGATTTGCACGTTTGGCTAAGTACGGTGCAAAAGAACTTCAACATACATACAATACAACATTTATCGATAACACACACAACTTCTGTAGTATGTGCACACTATCAGAGCCCCTGCTGATACACGTGTGAATGGACTGCACTGTTGTACAAATACTCATCTATAAGCCTTTATCTGGTTTATTGTGTTTAGCCAGGTGAGAACTCAAGAGACAGAGAAAGTCTAATTTGCAACAGTGACCAGGTTCATTAAAATGACAAAAGCAATAACAAGGAACTAAGTACAACAATGAATCAAAAAGAAATCAGTGAAATAACAAAATAGAAATCAAAGCAAAAACAATTGCATTACAGAAGAAATCGAAAATACAGCACGAACAGACGAACATAAATCAGTAACGTATTAAATGAAACAAACTTTCTGTAATGTAAGTTGTCTCGGAAAAAACTACTCCGAAACAACTTTTATAGTCAAATGTAATTTGAGAAATATTCACCTGGAATTAGGTTGAGTATCGCACTCGTATTTAAACATACGAGAACATGACAAAGTTGGATTAATGCCATTGCCGATGGTTCCTCGACCATACTTCACCGCGCTGGTCCGTGCGGGTTGGTGAAGGGTATAACCCCACACAGCTATTGCATCTTGCCCGTGGGTAACAATGTTCTCAAGGCACGGCATGGCCTAGTTACACGGGGAATGCGAGGAATGCAGCAACTTTGAAGAGGTGCCAGGAGGCGAGACGGGGAGCCAGGAGGCGAGACGGGGCCGCAGCCCGCGACAGATGAATACCATCGCTAGATAATGACCCACGGGTCCCGTCCATCAGTGGCGGCAGAACACGAAGTCAACTTTTGCTGTCCGACGCTCAGAAACCCCCCCCACTCCCAGGGACAAGCCCGTCCAGGTGAGGTGTCCGTGCAAAAGGTGAGTGAAGGGTGAACGAGTGGGGGGAGGGGCGCAGTTGGTGAAGGCTGGGGTAGTCAGGCAATTGAGACGCACGCATACAGACATGGAGACAGGTTATGGAGCAACCGGAGATATACAGATATTAGAGATACACACTAACGAACATGTTCACAGACTGGTACCCATGCTAAACATACAGGACGGACGGGAAGTCTCCATATCCCTTTACCTCTGTGTTTAAGTAGAACAGGGTGAGGCGTGGGTATAGGGACTTCTCGCCCGACTTCTACAGGCATGCACACCGAGATGGAAGGAGAGATAAACATAACCAACACACAAAGACACGCACACACAAGCCTGACCGACAATAATACATACAGCCATGCATACAAAACAAAGACCCCCCGTGTAGCCTTAACCAGACCGGTTGGGGCAAATGCTGTGAGCGAGCACATATGAAGTCCAGAATAGCACACGAGGGGGTGGGTGGCCAGCATCACGCTCGACCGCCTTTGTCTCCCCAGTTGCGATGTTTGCACACCGCACCAGGTACTCATTTGAGGCTGAGTCGACCTAGGGAAGGCCCAGGATCAGTTCAGATAATCGTCACTGTTGTTGGCCGTGAGCGAGAATCGAACTCGGATATTCGGGTTTGTAGCGCAGCGTGTCAACCGCTATACCACCGCTCTCCACACAATCGCAACAACCCTGGTTTGTCTTTGTCTATGGGTTTCTATGTATCTCTATGTATCTATGTGTCTCTGGGTTTACTGTCAGGTCCTTAGTTTGGGTTGCATGGCCGTGAATTGTCTTTAATGTGTCTATATGGGTCTCTGTGTCTTTGTCTCTTGTTTCTCCATGTAGCCAATATGTACGTCTTTGTGCGTGCCTCTATAGGTTTACTGCGTGGTCTGTAATTTGGGTTGCATGGCCGTGAATTGTCTTTAATGTGTCTATATGGGTCTCTGTCTTTATTTGTCTCTATGTATCTCCATGTAGTCAATATGTACGTCTTTGTGCCTCTATAGGTTTACTGCGTGGTCTGTAATTTGGGTTGCATGGCCGTGAATTGTCTTTAATGTGTCTCTATGGGTCTCTTTATTTGTCTCTATGTATTTCAATGTAGTCAATGTGTACGTCTTTGTGCCTCTAGGTTTAGTGCGTGGTCTGTAGTTTGGGTTGCATGGCCAGAGTCGCGCTCCAGTGGCTTGTGTCTGTAATTTCTCATGTACGCAGGAGATGTGCTCATCGGCTGTTGATGTTCCGATGCGGTTGATGGTTCCACCGGTGTCAATTCAGAAACTGAATATGTATTTATACTGAAGGAATCCGATGAGCTATAAAGCTCTTTTTTTAACATGCCCAGTAGGGACTGGTCAGAACGTTACAACAACAAAAAACACTATATGAGTGCAAAGATTATGAAATGTAAGCAAATCAGTAAAAAAATATAGACAAAACACTAAACTGTTTTCTTTTACCAGGTAAAGCCCACTGAGCTATTGGCTTCCTGGGATTACACATCAACCCGTACTGCCATGCAACTTGACAGGACCCTC